CAAAGGTCCTGATTTTAACAAAGCCAACTTCAGGAGAAAAAGGGATCAATGATTCAATATAAGGTAAGTCACAAAAATATCTGATTTTCCCTTCTCCCTTTTTTCTTTTCTTAAAACAAACTGGTCATGGGTTGTTGAAAATCAATAAAGTGGGTATTCATCGATTTGCTTTACACTCAAGAAAACATTCTCTCTTTGCATGAAAAGTAACATAATAATTTGTGCTTCCTTAGCTCTGTTCTGTAGATTAACGAATGGATACCTTTGTCTACAGGTTTATGACAGACACAACTCTATTTGTCAACATCACTAACAAGGCTTTTCCTGATGACATTCGGAACTCCTGCCAACAAAACAAAATGGAGTAGGTCACATGACCAACAGAAACTCGGAATATAGTCACGATTGTGTAAATAAATCTGTTTGGGCAGAGAAATTATTATGTGTATAAGTTAGAAAGAATAATAGCATTATTCACGATGGAGTATAAATTTCAATGGCGATTTTAAAATCGAAAGTTACAAGTTTTGATCTATATCTTTCTAGCGTTTGAAGCGTCTGAAGAAGGTAACGGGACGTTTCGCCCCTATTGACGGTTCGCGCCGAGACCATTCGCCCCCAAAGACCTTTCGCGCCGAGACGTTTCGCGCCGAATTTAATCTACAGTGTCTATATGGATAACGATATATTACGATGTTTTAAGATAAATATTTATACATAAGGTTAATATTGATTTTATTAAAAAAATGTTCTAAAGTTACTAAAAAAGTTTTCATGTTTAAATTGTTGAAATAGGCTTATACCATAATTAAATGTATAATTATCCATGTGCAGATATAATTATGTTTATTCAGCAATCATAATTCTCTGATTCAGTTTTGTAATTAAGGTGTTATATAATAACTATAATTTGGAGACTCTCCATGTTAAGATAAAGAGGAGAATTAAAATTATGAGACGGGTGTCAAGTTCATTTTACCGTTGCTCTATAGGACGCACACTGACTCCAATTTTCTTTGTGATTTTGAGTAATGCTATATAAGTACTTATCAAAAATATACTTATCAACAGGAGTTCATAAAAAAAAATCAGGTCTGACAATTTCTTTTTTTTTTTAATTTTAGAGGCAAAATTATCTCAATCAGGTCTTCAGAGTGTCACGTCTTTAGTATATTGATTGAACCAATGGACTGGATTAATATAACACAGTAAAAAAGTAATTAAGAAGTTAATAATTGCTGTTAACAATTGATAATTACCGCATAATCAATTAATTGATCTTCGGCGCGAACCGTCGAGGAGCGAAACGTCTCAGCGCGAATGGTCTTTCGGGGCGAACCGTCCCGCACTCTCTGAAGAACACCGATTGTCTACATGTGGTGGAGGCTGAGGATGAGTTAGGGGGAAAATAAATTTATAAATTGGTTGTATAGGTAAGACAAAGCTTTAAATTGGGTCAGAAAGTATGAGAGATACTTTCAATTTTACTTTAGAGAACGTAGAGGTCAACATTTCGCAGAATAATGTTAACTTCAGGGGGAGTGAAGTTTGGCGGGAAATACATGCACATGTTGGGGTCCCTGCCTACAGAGTACTTTGTACTTTATATACACTACTTTGCAGTGTAATTTTACATCCATCTGGGCTCTTAATAATGGGAAGATATGCCTAAATAATGATTCAATTGGATACTGCATATGCTTGCTTCTGGGAATTATGTAGAGCAAACTTGTTTAACTTTGAGAAGTAGGTCAAACTGATTTACTTGCATCAGTTACTTAAAGAATGTGATCTCGTAAAACCATGGCATTGCTAGCAACTTCTTTTTTTCACTTGTAAAATGGTTAACAGAAGTAGAACCAGAATTCCAGGATGGATACCTGTAAACTGTGAAACGAAATCAAAATGAAACCAAATGAATCCAATTGAAATGGCAGTCTTCGACAAATCCCAGGAGTCTGATGCCTGGGACCTGGTAAAGTTGGAAGCGGGCATGTGGAAATCATTAACTTGCAAGCCTGAAGGGCATGTAAAATTGGAGGCTTAATCATAAAGATTATTTATAACGATATGCTTTCACTTTTGATTTGAGTTATCAATTTATTCATAAGACATATCATTTTCATTCATGAAGTACATATAAAATTAAATAATATCAATATCATTAAATGTACTTAAGGCCAGCATTTTTTTTTTTAGGTTTACAAACCTGTCGCTCGAGTTTTTTAATTTTCAGAAAAAAAATAAAATTGAAAAAAACAGAATTTTTTTTCTTTTCAAATGTCGAATTTGAGTCAGGATCAAGATTTCAAATTTACGAACTCGTACTTCCGGTTTAAGATAAACATGGCAGGTAAATAAAGGTAGACCTGCATAGTCCATATCATCATCATAGCTTGGTTTAGTGTAAAATTTTTTGATAGGAGTGCAATTCAAAACGTTTCACTCGTTCAGAGGAAAATAAAATGCTGACGACTTTGTTGCACAATAACATGTTGGTGAGATAACTCTGTATCCGTATTCAAAAGTAAGTGCATGTAAATTAATTTCCTCCCACTGGTTAAAAACTGCCCATGGTAGCTATAGCCAGAGACATTGTTTAGGTCTCTGTTATAGCCTACAATCTAAGCAACATTCTGTAGAAAAGATCGCTTATGCATCAGATGTATTGAATAAAACTATTGGTGAAGTGAAGTCCAATAAACAATAGCCTAAAAAAATGAAATATTTAAATTATTGAAGAAAAAAGTATATACCAATATAAACAGGCATGTATTGTTTTTGAATGTGGCAGCCAGAAAAATTATTTTACACTAAATTGAAGAAATTTTGACCCCCTCCCCAATACTCCGTCTGTTATACGATAGGAATATTTACTTAAGGTCTCAAGTATATTTTTTAAAACAATTTCTACACATTCATGTAACACATATTTAAAAAAAAAATGAAGATATACATATATTAAAAGACTTTTAAAAGATTTTTTTTTTTTTAAATTTGTATTTTGAACAACATCTCGAAATTTATATCACTGCATGGCCCCAACTGGCAGACAATGAAATAAACAATTTAAGGTTCTACCTTCCTATTTGTAACCATTGTGTGACCAGTGGCAAGGAGCTTGTTAGGAGAGTATAAAAAAAGAGGCAAAAATAAATGTACAAAAGCTGATAATTTATACCAAAAAATTATTATTTTTTTTATTTCTTCCTCCTAAGGGATTTTTTCATTCTGGTGTTCGTAAACCTAAAAAAATGCTGGCCTAAAAGTGTTTTGATTTACCCATCTAAAATGAAGCACAAAATAAAATTTTAACGACAGGATTTTCTACGGCGATTTCCAAGAAACTTTCGCATTGGAGATACAAAAAGTGTACAGGTTTAAAACAAATAATGGTGAAGCGTGACAATAGATGCTCTCAGGAAAAAATGGATTTCGGATCATTTCCTTGGGAGAAAAAGGCAAAAAAAAAGGAATTTTTTTTAATTACTTGATTAAATTTTGGGCATGTAAATATTTGTTCAGGCTAGTTTAATTAGTTTAATAAGATTTGGTGAAGACTGAAATGAAAAAACCATACCAGAATCAAAACCAAGCAAAACATACCATACTCTACATTGGTGACAAGTCAACAAATTGCAGACATTATAATTATTTGTCAAAATACTATTAAATTTCGCTTAAAAGGGTTATTCAATCCATACAGTTAAATAAAAGTATTTTGAAATTTTGATTATCAAATATTCAAGAACTTTATGGGATGCATGCCTGGTGTGTCCTCCTTTCCTGAATCTACTGTTGGTAAAATGAAATCTATCAAATGTCAGGTCAGTGGTATATTAAATTTTGGGACCAGTTGCCCAAACGGGATATATAGTAGTCTCTTTGGGATATAAAACAAATTGAAATATAGATTTACAGTGCAACTTTCATTCAAGTGCAGTGGACTGTGGATATCAGCTTCAATAGCTCATTGGTTAGAGTACTTGACTAGTAATGCAGGGGCCCTGGGTTCATTTCCCAATCCAGCTGAAACTTTCTCATTTTGATTTACTTTCTTTGTTGTTGGGAATCCCTGGACTAGCAGGTAGTGATGGGAATTGGTAAGAATTTCATGATCGATGATAGGGCTACTGTATATAACTAATATTATCAGTTATAATTGGACATTTACAAAGTCTGTTCTATCTAGTCCAGCTGGTTTTTCGTTCATTTTGTAGAATCCTACGTATGTCCATACCCGGAAATGAGCATTGTTACCCGGGTATGAATACAATGTCTGTTCGTCTGCGCCATTATGATACACAAATAAGTTAGTAAACAAGTCGCGGCTGGAATATTTGGCTTAAAAACTATTATGCTTGTAAAATAAATCAAATAACACGATTAATTGGAATAGAAATTTTGTAATCGAGCGCTTGGATTATGCCAACAATCGACTGATTTTTTATTATAATCAATGATTGGAACACCACTACTCGCAGGTAAAAGTTCTGCAAGGTTCAAAACAATTTGGGCTGTGAGTCTTCAAGAATGAAGATAATTTAAAGAGGGAGGAATGTAGTGGTTTGGGATGCATGATCTACATTTGATATTGGCCTGGATATCTCAGTGATTGGAGCACCTGACTAGAAATGCAGGGATCAGAGGATCCATTCCTTGTCAAGCAAAAAATTCTCTCCTTCAAAATTCCTGTTGCATTGCTAACAATTGAGTGATCAGGTGTTTGACATGATTTACATATTTGAGTGCAGACATTATTATATGATTGTTGTATTTGACACTTAAGAAAGAAATCATTCTAGTCAATATTAGTTGTAATTCAGTTCAGCGATTAGTTTAGATTTAATTGTTTGATCTTAACTATTCTCAAATTTCAAATGTAAAAAATTGTTTGGGATTTTGAAAAGTAGTAGTTAATTGTATGAAATCTCACAGATAAAAACTTAGAAAATGTCTTTCTTTATATATAAAAAAAAAACTTTCCTGTTTTTCAGATAATGGCGTCAAATGGGTATGTATCATGGTAAACCTTAATGACTTTTACACCTCACAGTTAATGAAATCCCTATAAGTATAATTGATTTCCAAGACTAAAGACCCCATCTAAGATTTTTTTTCCTCATGTTCAACAGTACAACTTGTCCAACCAGGATGTGTCAGTGTCTTTCAAAATCTTAAAGTAAATTTTTAGTTCCTTTTAGGAAATTCAATATCTTTTTTAATCTGACACAAGTGGTGTCTGGGTTAGATTTTGAAGTTTTACTCTACATTGATTCAAATAAAGGGCACAATAAGCATTTTTAACACCTAGGGTAATAAAATTATTGTATTGGCCCAGGAAAAGTATTAAAGTTACTTTCACTGAAATTTTAAGTTGAACAGAGTGCAGAACATTATATTTTGAAGTTAATCCTGCAGGTATAATGTATGATGAAGGAATTCAGTTTAGAAGTTGCTTTACCTATTATGGCAATAAATTTGACAGAAATTAAATACATAGTTGTAGACACAACGTCTTGTAACAATATTAGGTAACAAAGATTTAGATAAAATTTATAATGCCGTGGTTTATCATTGATGTAATATGGGTTTACTGGTACCTGTGAATTAACTATTACAGAGATTTAGATAGCTGGAACCCTATGAAGGATGACCATCTGAACGAAGAGTTTAATAAATATGACAGAGGACATGGTAAAGACATGCCAAAGAGAGGCCCAGATCGCTATGGGTAAGTAGAAAAAGAGGAATTTATATACTGTTGAACTTTAGTATCTGGAACTTTGATATCTGGAATATTGATGATTGTCGGAGTGAGATTGGAGTCTCTATCACTTTTATATTTTAATCTTGATATTTGTCAACTCTTTGATATCCTGACGTTTTTGCTCAGTCCAACTGAGTTTAAGATAATGACCTTTGACTATGTCAGTATAAAGTAGATTAACATTAAGTGAATTTAAGCTATAAGTTGCAATTAAGATTTTGATAATATCCATAGCTTGTGGTGGTGGTGGTGGGGGGGGGGGGGGGGTAGGCAGGGAGAGACTTTGTTTCAATTAATTTTTGTGTCTATTTTAGTGGTGTTTGGCTTTAATTCACTGCCCCCCCCTCCCCAAGCTATGTTTAATTTTGGTGTCTTTATTTTAGTGGTGTGTCCCTTTATGTCACTGGAATTCCAGATGAAATGACGGAAGTAAGTACAAGACGTAAAGTATGTAACCTTTACGCTCCCAACCTGGTGTTTTTCTGAAATTGTAACCTTTACCTTTAAACGAAATGGTAATTTATTAGTGGTGTTAATTAAGGGTAGCAATGCTAAAAGAAGTAAATCTGTATAGAGTTCTGTGCAGAATTTTGTACAGAAATGAAATAACTGTTGAAAAAAATTAATTTGCAGGAAGGGCTGGTAAATTTGTTTAGTAAGGCTGGCACATGTGTGGAGGCTAAGAAAATGAAGTCCAAAATGGAGGGGACTGGGAATACGTATGGGTAAGTTATAGAGTAGTGGGATCAGAACTTGAAAAAAAAAAATGAGGGTCTATTTGATGGTAATTAACCCCCCTCCCCCAAGTTCATTGGAGGGGGTTGTTGTATAAGGTTTAATTTGGCACATAACTTACATTTGTTTGGTAACATTTCCATTATGAGAAAAAATTCTTATTGGAATGTAAAATTCATGAATAAAATTTGACTTGTTTCAGTTTCAGCCATTAGTTTTTAGTTTTTCAGATTTACAGTTCTAAGCAATATTAACTGAGGTCAACTGATAGAAATAAAAATAAAGATTTAAAAAAAAAATGGCTTAAGCTGTATCTTGACTATTTCCAAGGTGCTTGCTTGCTTGCTTGTATTTGTGTTGGAGATAGTATCTTTGAATTGGTTATGATGATTTGGTTTCAGGTTTGTCAAGATGGCGACAGTCAATGAGTGTGAGAAAGCCATTCGCAAATATCATGAATTTCCCATCGGAGACTGCAAGTTACGAGTGAAGTTCTCTAAAACAGACGAGGATCGAAATCGACAACAAAAGCAGAAACAGGTAGAAATCGCATCAGAAATATTTAGATGGTGCTATGTATTTTTATTAAGTGCATCAAATATTTTAAGCTTGTCGTTAAAATGTTTTTATGGAAATTTTTTTCAGATATTAGAGAGTAGATAATTCCATAATTTCTCTTGATGTTCATAAATATTTTTTTCCAATCCTTGTTGCTCCATTTGTCAAACTTCATTGTTTCATTTGGAACTTGAAAAAACTTTGAAAACTATCATGTAAGTTTGTAAACTGAAAACTTTTAACATGGTAACTATCTCATTTAAATATAAATAAGGTTATTTTTGCACTTGCAAATGATTTTGCTAGATTTTGCCCTATTTTCAATTCAACCACATGCGACAAGGGCAAAAGGGTTGTAAATAGAATGGAAGCAAAATTTTTCTGCGGGTGTACTTCAGGATCTACAGGAAAACTCAATTGTAAAGAACTCAGTTATAAGGAAATCTTGGTTAGATGGAATATTTTATCAGTCCCCCATGGTGACTTTCCATTAGATGTGTCTTATGCGGATATTAGAATCTGTAGTTTAGTAGATTAAATTCAATGTTATTTGTGAGGAATCCACTGGAATTTCAATACCAGTTTAGAGCATATTTACCAAGACATCTCTGTTTACACAATGTTTAAATCTAATGAATTTGATTACTAGGAGGAAGAAGAGTTCCTGAGTTCTTTGAGCAGCAACAGGAAGTCTTATTCACGCAGTAAAGCCAGCTCGGGATCGGAGTCAGATGGCAGCGCTCATTTCATGAGCAGGGTGAGTTAATCAATCTCACTTTGAACACAGCTGAGGCTGGCATCGATGTAAATTTTCAAATTTAATTATCAGCCATATACTTCTACCTGTGCTTGCTGGACATTTGCAAGGAAGCTTTTGTAAAAATTATTTCACAAATATATGTAGAAATATGTCTTATACTGACCTCAGGGTTAGAATGGCGCCACAGAAGTTTCAAACTTACATGGAATACATGGGTAAAAAAAAAACATTTAAAAAAATATATATATTTTGTTTTTGCTGAAAACTAGTGCCTAAAAAGTTTTCTAGGAGTTGGGCCAAAATGGCTTTTAGTTATTTTTAACATTTAGGTCCTCTGTTCTATGAAATTCCAATCTAAATCACTGAAACAGATCTTGATTAATTTTTATCCAACGAACTGAATGCATTTAATTTCAGTTTGTGTTGTAAATGTAAATGTTTATCATACAATTAGAAAGTAGAGTGTCACAAGGTTATAGGCATGTGATGTATATTTTAACTATCAAAGCCCTACCTCTCAAAATTCAAAAGATATAAGTTTAAGTAAGGGTTCTGGATATTCTTGAAAAATAGGTCAGAGGTCGAAGGCAAGTGGACTGTAATGCTAGTATTTTTCAAAATTCCTATGACAAGCAGTGTTTGTGCTAATTGGCTCATATTTACCTCATACGGTTCAAAGAATATAGTGTAGGTGTTAGATACAGTGAAAACTGTCAAATCTGACACCTGTGCAATCTGTTTCACTGTGAATTCCAACCTCTATTTCCATTCCCATTTCACTATCTCACCTGCCTGTTCTTTATACTGTATAATCTGACACAGTCTATTTAGACAGAAAATTTGTCTCCCAAAGCCAATTAATTTAGACAGGTTTACTGTATTTTTAAAAAAAGGGCAAAAGTCAAGGTCATGAGATCAGTATCCTGGGTATATTACAAAAGCTATTGCGCCAAGCCATATTTGAGCAAAATGTTAAATTCCAATCTGTTATAGTTCTCAAGACAAAGTTTGACGGATGACAAAGTGATCCCAAAGTGACGCTCTGCTTTGCTGGTGACAAAAAAATTAGGTCATATTAAGGGCCATTGTTTTACATTGAAATTAATTAACATGTAAGAGATGAGAAAATCTTCAGAACAGCAAGGCCACATTCATATTGATTTGCAAACAGCTTTGGGTAGTGTAGCTTCAAGTTTGTTAAAATCATGGTCCCTAGGGGTAGGGTGAGGCCACAATAGGTGATCAAGATTTCAAAAATACAGCAAAGGAGTGACTCAGGCAAGAGTTGTGGCCTATGGGCCTCTTGTTACTGTTCTGACTCGTAAAATTGCTGAGTCAGTTGCAGTGCATTGGGTTAAACACATCTTTGCATTGTTTTGTATATGATCTATATATAGCACAAGGTCAGACCGGCCATAGTTCTTATTCTATGAGCAGGGTAAGTTGTACACTGCATGAAAGCTTGAACTGTTAGAATTGTCTATATTGTACTGTATATTTAAGGATTGAGGTGTTACATGTAAATTGTTGTACATGTCATATAACATGTGATCTTGACCAGATAAATAATACTGACCTTGGCCAAACCATCATTTTAGACAGATCTCTGTTAATGCAATGTTGTTGTTGCCTCTGAGTTTTCAGGCTTTTATTCTGACATCTCATTTCATCATGTTACTGACTTTCAGCCCTTTATTGAGATTCATAGCTATTAATTTTTTTTCTCATTCAGTATTTCCTCATTATTGTGACTGTCTAATAAGTGATTCCAACTTTGAAAAGTATTTTAATTTCTATATCATATAAAATGAAGTCCATGTCCTTTATGTTTTAAGAATGTATATTAAATAAACACTTAAGTCTGTATATGTAGTTACATATTATAAAGGACCTGTATTATTTATTTATGCAAATTAGTTTGGCGTCTTCAGTTTTTATTTAAAGAAAATCTGGTCTGTACATTGCTGCTGTCCATCAGTAAATAGACAATTTTGTTGAGATGTTAGATTTACATATAGCTGTGTGGGTTTTTTTTATCCCCCCCCCCATAAAATGTTCTTTTGAGGGTCATCTACTGTAAATCCACTCGTGAAACAAGAAAATTTTTCAGTATCACCTTAAGACATATGTTTTTAAGAATATCCCATCCCTCCTCTATTGTCATTAATATAAACTTAAAACTTGGTCATCATTCATTTTTTCTACCATTTTACTTGCAGTCAGGGGAGAAAATCATGTTCGGAAAGAACAAAGTAAACGAAAGGTAACTATAAGTAAAGATGAATTTTACTACTTTGTCAATTAATCATTTTTTTTTTTTTTAAAGAAAGGATGTGGTCTTAGTTTATTTTATGAAGCTAAAAATTATATATGAGAAATAAATGAAATTTTCAATTTATAAAAATGAAGCATCAATGATTGAAAGATGTTATTAAACTGAAGAAAGAAAATTATTTTGATGTTAGATCAATGAACATTTACAATGACAATTAGATCATTAATATATATATTGACAAACATTATATAAAGTTACGATAATCAGCCTAATGTATAACTACAAATGCTGAAAGCTTACAGAAAACATTTTATGCATGTATTACAGTATAATATTAATTATCACCCTCTGTACATACATTTTGTAGCCCACCAACCTTGCAAGAAGCTCCAGTGAAGAAACCAGGTAAGTCAGAGGAAATTACAGGTGATTTGGCATGTGCACTGAAAAAAAAAGTTATGCAGTTGCATATTGTTAATTTTCCTATGTTTACTTTTCTGATGCAGAATAAATAATTAAGTATTGGTTGTACACATGGTTGGTTATAGTGTACAGTAAAACAAGCTTATAGCGAAATCCAATGATGAACAATTTTGATTCATTGTAAACAAATTAAGTTACATCAGATACGTTCATAATATGTTTAAAAAAAAAAAAAAACTACAGGGAATAAAAATCACATCGCTGTAAGCATGTATTTATGTAATACTTGTTCACTATGTTTTACTGCATGTACATAAACAGTTAAATTAATTTCTCCAGCAGCAGGAGATGGGCGGCCGGGATTATTAGGGGATTACCCAGGTATTGCTAATGCTTCACTTTGTTCCTCAGTTAAATTATGTTTTTACTTTTCACACCTTGTTTCTGTTTTTATATTTTTTTTTCCTGACTTACTCTTTAATTTTGCTTCATGGATTTGAACGATGTAATCAAATTCAAATTTCACAATGCATGTACTGTTAACCCTCTTACATTATTTAAAGATACATGATTTATACACTGTATACATAAAGAATTTTAATAGGATAAAAATATAAAAGACACATTTTTTTCTCTGGAAAAGTTGAATACTTACCAAAATTTATAAACTTCTTTCCCAGGTAGTAGAGCAGATGTGTTAACATTTCTTGTTAATAATGAGTAAATTTTTTTACGAAAACGTTGAAAAGTATAACAACTTTTAACATTAAGAAATATTAGAAGCTTACACTCGAGACAAAGGTGGCTTCATTGACACAAGGTTATGTTCTGACATTGAGCCAGGGTTATTTGAACAAGGTCAAGGTCACTAGTCTTCAAGACTAATTAGACTAATTAGACATTTAAGCCTGGGCAGTTTGAGGTATAGAGAAAAACAGTAGATTATTCTAGACATGAAAGTTTCGTCACCAGAGGGTGGGTAACAACATTAAGGTCATCTGGACAAGGTCACTGAATATGAAATGTAAAAAAAACTTTTGTGTGTAACTTAATGAAGTAACATTTGAAGATCATGCATGCCCTAAGGGTTGAATATGATCAGGCCCCAGGATCATGAAACAGACTTAGACTTAAGTCAAATTTTCGCCTGTAAAATGTTATTATTTATTGAGTTAATTTCTAATTTTGCAGATAACAACATTTTTGTTAAGCAATACTGTAAAAGAGTTTAATTTTGGCCTGCTTGACTTCTACAACATTTTAGTACAACATAAAAATTTTGTCTTAAGCTTAAGATGTTTCATGATACCGGGGCCAGGTCAAGGTAACAGTTCAGGAATGTCAAATTCTGAAGGTCTCGGATATGTAGAATCCTGAAAGACAAAACTTTGTATTGAAAGAGCATAAGGAGGTCATACTTAGCAAAGATCGCTTGTGACCAAGATGCCATAATTCCAAGCTATGGTAATTGCAAAGAGCAAGGTCACATGGCTTAGAAGTGAAATGTTTTTGGACAATGCTGTTTTTAGTTTCTGGACTGGTTGGTCATTTTTTTTGTACTTGACACAGATGTTGCTCAGGACCAATTATTACAAGTTTCAACAAGTTACATTTCCACAAGATTCAGATTGGGGGGAATTTGCAGCATATTTTTTTCTCTAGAAAGCCAGAGTTCTGTTTTAAGCTATTAGACTGTATGTGGGTTGCACAGTGAGGAAAATTCTAAATGAACAATTGTAGTCTCATTTTCATTAACTTTCTGATGCAAAAGAAATGAATTGCTATTGGTTATACACAGAGTTGATTAGAGTGTGTATTGATTGTTTAACTTTACCAGCAGGAGATGGGCGACCTGGAATATTAGGGGAATACCCAGGTATTAATTGCTCACACTTCATCGTTAGTTTTACACCTCCTTCATTAATTAAATTAATGTTTTTACTTTTCAGAATTTGGTTCTATTTTCATACTTTATTTTTACATTTATGGAGTGTTAACTCGTTGTTTAAAGTTGCTGTTTGGATTAGAATTCAAATATCACCACTCTTATTATGTACAGATACATGTGTATGATAAAAATACATGTAAATACACTCATCTGTAAACAGAAAAAAGTATTTGTATGGATCTTTACATTTTTTCTCTGGTAAAGTTCATAAACTGACTAACATTGTTTACTGATCATACGGATGTATTTTATAAGTATGGTACGCTTTTTCCTGCATGATAAAAAAAAAAGTCTTTAATCAGAACATCATGTAGAATAAACTTTTAAAAAAAAATTACAGATAAAAAATTCTATGTTTGGAAATAGTTAATTTCTTTACTGTAAATTAAGATGCAATAGAAATATTTTAATTTTTACAAAACTAATGCTGCTATGCTTCTCTTTTGACAGGTGCCCTGAGTCAGGTGTCCCCCATGTCTTGTGCAAGGTCAGATGTCTCCACCCCCATTGATCCCTCTCTTTTTCATTCTCCAGGAAGCAGCCACCTGGACATGAAATTTCAGTCCATGGGGCGGAGGCAGGCCACAAGCCCCAGTCAGAATGGTGTCGAGTTCCAAGGCAGTGCTCCTCAGGATTTCTACGAGCAAAATCAGCATCCTGGATATGTTGGGGAACCAAACGCAGGCATGCGGATAGTGTCTGATGGAGAATATAGACATGTTCAGCAGAGAATGGGAAGGGATAACATGAGAGGCTCCCCAAGGGGACATTTTAGGGGAAGGGGTAATATGGGGGGTAATATGGGGAGAGGAAATTATAATAAATATCATGATAACTTTCCCATGTATGGCAACAGAGGTAGGGGAATGATGGGGCCCAGAGGTAGAGGTATGAATTATAATAGAATGGGGCCATGGGGATACACAGATAATCTACAAGGAAATTATCAAGGAGGATATAGAAACCAGGAGCCTTTTTACCATGGACAGAATGTGGGTCCCTCTTACAACATGAGGGGATTCCGAGGGGGAAGAGTGCGCCCAAACAGAGGCAGAGGTGAGGAAAATCTTCAAGTGGAAAGAGTTGTTTTCTTAATTTTTATCCTCATGATGAGGAAAACAACTCTTATTATTGATACTTTTGAAATTCAGTGTAAAGCTGACAGGTTATGGTTCTGTTTTAACATTTTAAAATTAAAGTTATATTGTTTATGTTACATAGGTCAGTTTACGCCCAAACCAGAGAAGAGGATCATGGATCGTCCTTGTGCCAACTGCAAGAAGATGGGTATGTGTTAATGATAAAGAAAAAAATTCAGAAATATTGAATTTTCAGATGATGTTGGTTTTTGCTGCATATTGACTCCAAGATTATGTTACTGTTGACAGGTGGATTCCAGTGCAGTCGCTGTAAGACGCCGTACTGCTCTCAACAGTGTCAGGCTGACCATTGGCCAGAACACAGCCAAAACTGTAAAGACATCAAGTAAACAATCTTATCACCATTTATACATATATTTATAATCAATCAGCATCCTGAACAATTTACTCTTCTGAGCAGTGTGTATGTTTAGATGAAGGGTTAGCTAAATTAGTATTTCTCTTTCAGGTTTTACATATTAGCAACAGTTTAATTTGACATTTGATTAATTTTCGGTAGGGAGCAGCTTGCTGAGGATGAAGTTGCCAGTCAGTTTGAGGTAACGATTGGAGAAGACTCTGTAGTAGAGGTAAGAATTTGATGCATTTGTCTTTAACATGATGGTAGGTGGTGTGCCAAAGAATCATTGACTAGGTGGTGTGTAAAAGAAATCACTGACTAGGTGGTGTGCCAAAGAATCATTGACTAGGTGGTGTGCCAAAGAATCATTGACTAGGTGGTGTGCCAAAGAATCATTGCCTAGGTGGTGTGCCAAAGAATCATTGACTAGGTGGTGTGCCAAAGAATCACTGACTAGGTGGTGTGCCAAAGAATCATTGACTAGGTGGTGTGCCAAAGAATCACTGACTAGGTGGTAGGGCTGTTACGGTTGCAAAATTTTTCAGATTGGGTCGGTTCTGTAAATTTTCGGTTCAGTTTCGGGTTTTTCAGTTCGGTTATTTACCTCTATTTTAAACCTTAATTTCATGAATTTAATATAAACATTCTTTTTTTGTTACGTAACATTCACCTTTTAAACAAATCTTATCCATGTAAACGTCTTAATGTTGATGTTTAGGACTATTAGGCTGACTATAAGTTACAATCTGACCATTCTTGCTTGTTTTGATAATTATCTAATCCTTTCGAGACAAGTGTTTTGTCATGGAATGAAGTATAATTCAGTTGTGATGTTTATTTATCACTTATCATCATCATTCTTTTGATTTTGACACCATTTTTTGTATAAAACATATCCTTAATATATATTAACCAGACCGGAACCGAAATCTGGAAAAATTTAACCGAAACCGAACCGAACAACGTGGACCACGGTTTTCGGTAATTTTGGGGAACCATGACAGCCCTACTAGGTGGTATGCCAAAGAATCATTGACAAGGTGGTATCCCAAAAAAATCATTGACTAGGTGGTATCCCAAAAAAATCATTGACTAGGTGGTATGCCAAAAAAAATCATCTCCCTTTCTTCATAGTTTAGCAAAATTTATTAATTATAGCAAACCATATACTTGCCTTCTTCAAGTTAATTTTGTTATTGAAGTATATAGTTCTAATAGAAATAGTACGTGTAAGTCCCTTATTTTTCACTGTGAACAAGTTTGATGAAATTCAACATTTCTAATCAGAATTTCTTATCCTAGTTTTATGGGTAGGTGTTAACTAATGCTTATAAAGTAATGGGAAAAAACTACCATTATTGTCCCCCGCTTTCACTGAAAGTGGGGGATATTAATTTGGGTCTGTCTGTCCGTCCGTTTGTATTTCTGTCTGTCTGTAACACTTTCGTTTCCGCGCGATATCTCGAGAACTCTTTGAGCTTTCACAATGAAATTTTGCATAGCAACTCCCTATCGCCTAAAGAAGAACTGTATTGATTTTGAGGTCAAAAGGTCGAAGGTCAAGGTCATAACTTCATAAATTCTGTCTGTTTTAACACTTTCGTTTCCGCGCGATATCTCGTGAATTCTTTGAGCTTTTTTAATGAAATTTTACATGACAACTCCCTGTGGCCTCAGGAAGACCTCTACAGATTTTGAGGTCAAAAGGTCAAAGTTCAAGGTCATAAATTCATAAATTCCGTCTGTGTGTAACACTTTTGTTTCCGGGCCATATTTCAAGAAGCTTTTGAGCTTTTGCAATGAAATTTTATACCATAACTCCCTATAGCCTCTCTCGCCCCTCTCGAAGTGTCCCACCCCTAGATAGAAAATGATAAATGTCCTACGGACCCGGTTTAACGATAGAATGCATTTCGTGTATTGTCAATGTCACAGAAGAAAATACGGGAGATAACTCTAACTCAGTTCATTTACTATGAAAAATCCCGAGTGTTCCAAATGTCAACATGGTGTGTAAATTTGAAACAAGTAAAAAACGTCGGTGAAAAAGTGTTGAATTCTTCCATAATATGGATTAAATTTTTAGATGAAAGGTATTTACAGTCTCAAAAAGGTTTGTTATGATTAATTTGACTGTTATTTTCAATGCAACTTCATTAATTTCCTCCAAAATCATTTCGGAGCGATTCTGCAATTTTCTGCTACATTACGGGTATATGGGGGGCATTCTAACTGTGGTGAGGGTCATCCCGAGACACAGTTAGATTATTCTAACTACGCACCCCATTTTTTATTTTATTTATTTATTGTATTAAAAGTCGCTTGGCACTATTTTTAGCACAGGGGCATGTGGAGTGTTTTAATAATTACGTATAATACAGGTTGTCGGCGGACTTTATATTCTAATTACATATATTAGAACTGTTTAGTAAAGGCTAAATAAGACACCATGTATTGATTAAAATTTTGACAATATCGAACGTGAAAATAAACATTATATGTGACTTAATGTTTGCATTTAATTTCTTGTATATTCAAGTGTCTCTGTGGTCTAATGATATGATGCTCGCTTAGCAAGCGAGAGGCCAGGGTTCAATCCCTGGATGATTCTCTTTCTTTTTTAAATGTTTTTTTTTTTTTCTTTTTTTTTTTCTTTTTTGGATTTACTAAATGATACTATTCAACATGTGAAATGAAAAAGTTATGATGTCTGGCGTGTACAAACTCATAAAATCATTATTACAGTGTGATAAATATTCTGTATATATTAAAAAGAATCTTCCATGTACACATATTAAAGAATAAGCAATCAAATCTTTATATCCATATTAGCTTTTTTTAAATTTGCTTCAATATACATGTATACATTTAATAATTCTACAAATACAGGGGGGCAGTGTGACCCCCCCCTCCCCCCCCAACTACACATGCTCTTCTTTTTTCCCTAAGCGGGGGACACAAATTCTCTGAATTAGCTTGTTTACAGCTTGTATTGCTTTAAAGTTGATAATTGTGAAATGATTACATGGAGGGATTTGTTTGTGGTTTTGATATATGGATTATATTCCTTTTATTATTTTCTGGTTTTTATCAGAATTCTCAAAAATTTTGCAGGAAATGAAATCATATGCCAAAAGTATTATTCAGGAACAGTATGGCTCTGTAAGTGGTTGTGCAAAATCACCACAGTCTAGTCAACAGATCACGCCAAATCGGCAGAGAGCAAGTCAGCCGTCGCCAAAACAAAGCAGTTCCTTTTCATCCATCAGGGAGCCGAAACAGGAGTCTAGTCAACAGGTCACACCAAACAGAGCAAGTCGGAGTCAGCCATCCCCCAAACAGAGTGATTCCTTGTATGACAGGGAGCCCAAACAGCAGTCGGGTGTAACCCCAGTCCAGAATGCCAGCACTCCATCACCACATGTACTTCCTCAAGATGGTTAGGCCAAGTTCTGGGCATTTTATATAATATGATACAATATAATTATTGTGTAAGCTGCAGTAGAATTTTTTTTTTATTTTGAGAAATTATTAATATTTCATACTGCTTAAAAGGATGAAAAAGTAGAAGAGTGAACATTTCAGTTAATTATCAATTTAGTGAAAGATTATCTTTAATAAAACAAATATAAGCAAGAATGAAATTCTTAACGTCAGCAAGTCTCACATAATGAACGAAAATTAATTTGTCATGTATATAAAATAATTTATGTTAAAAGATGTGTGTCTGCTTTTAGAGGAGAAAATTAATGAAGGGTTATTTTTCAGGGCAAAGAAAGTCTGCACCATCACCTTCTAACAGAATTGTTATAAACAGTCTAGATACTGGCGAGGAATATGAAGTAAGAGTTGATCATTGGTTCTTTGAGTTATACATTGTTTCTTAGATTCTTTGAAAACTTTGTGTGTGCATTGGGTTGATCTTGAAAATTTGAAAGAAAAAAAAAACATTGAATATGTATCCCATGTTTGGGAAGAAGTTGATAATCTTCATTTACAAAAGAAGAACATAACTATCATTATTATTAAAGATTGAACCTTTTTGACTATTTTATGTTTTTAACCATTTAGTTAATCAAAAGGAATGGAGTAAATACATTAATACACTGTAATAGCTACCCATAATCATATACTGTATGTGATCCATGGATTAATAAACTTTCTGGATGTTAGTTTATCTGGATGATAGTTTATCCATTGTCTCTCTGGACTTTATAGCTGATTGTGGAGAGTGTGGAGGACCCCAGTAGAATTGTTGTCCAGATCTTGAATTCTGAGGACCTGCAGAAATTGGCAGAGCTGAATGCTGAAATGAAAAAGGTATACTCCCCACCTTCCCCATTAAAAAAACAACTTGAAAATATTTGATGATCTATGAATTTTTACCTCTTCTGAGCTTAAGGCTTAAAGGGCTAATGTTATGGCCATTTGTGTGGCATGCATAAACTTTTTAGAATATGGGCCATAACTCAAGAACCCCTTGGCCAATTATAGTCAAATTTTTCATAGGGTATCTTTTGCCCAAGGGCTCCTGTTTATACTAAAACTAGGGTTGTGACCTTTAAACAAGGGGAGATAATTAGAAAAAAAACCCCAAAAGTATTGGTTGCTAAAAAATCTTCTTCTCAATAACCACTGGGCAGATTTATCACCAAACTTGCACAAAAGGTTGAGGATATGTTGTAGATTGAAATTTGCACGGGGATTCACCCTTGGGCAAAGGACGTGGTCTCAAGGTCACTTCAAAGTTGACCAAAAATTATATTTTATTAAAATGTTGATCCTTTGCTTACTATAAGGACTAGGATCATCAAATCTTGTCAGTTGATGCATCTAAGGACCTCATATCGTTGACTCAAAATTAGGTCATGGTGACCTACTTTTTAAATTTTGCGTCCATTCATTTTCAAAATGATTTAGTGGCATATTTTGAACAATTTAAGGCCTATGATCATCAAACTTTGTCAGTTGATGTATCTTGGGTCCTCATAGTATGTTGACTAAAAAGTAGGTCACCTTGACCTGCTCTTTGAATTTTATGGCTAATCTTTTTTTAAAACAATTAAAGTCATTAATTTGAAAACTGAGAGGTTCTTGTAAGATGATGCATCTTGGGGCCATAAAACATATTTATTAAAAAGTAGGTCACAGTGACCTACTTTTTGTACTTTGCAGGCATTCAATTTCAAAGCATTTTAGAAGCATATTTTGGACATTTTAAGGCCTATGATCATAAAACTTTGTTAGTTGAAGCTTCTTGGGTCTTCGAAAAACATCATCTGAAAAGTAGGTCAACGTGACCTACTTTTCAATTTATATGACTATAATTAAATATTTCTTTTACTAATTGAGGTCAACTGAAAAGTAGGTCACAGTGACCTACCTTTGAAAATTTTTGGTTTTGATTAAATATTTCGGGTACTACAGTAAAAACTGTCTAATCCGACACCTGTGCAATCCGTCACACTGTGAATTCCGATGTTAAATTTCGTTCCCATTTTTCTATTTTCCCTATTTTTTGCACTGTGCAATCCGACATCCTGTCTATTCTGACGCAGAATTTGTCTCCCAGTGCATGTCGGATTAGACAGGTTTCACTGTAATTGGCTTAATAGAATCATCAAACTTTGTCAGTTGATGCATCTTGGGTCCTCAAAGTATGTCTTCTGAAAAGAAGGTCACTGTGACCTACTTTTGAAATTTTATGGATATGATTTTAAAAATATTTTAGGTATTAATTGGTTAGAATCATCAAACTTAGTTGATGCATCTTGGGTCCTTAGAGAATGACAAGTGATAAGTAGGTCACTGTGACCTACTCTCGGGTACTAATTGGCTTAGAATCATCTTGGGTTCTCTAGAGTGTTTCATCTAAAATGTAGGTCATGATGACCTACCTTTGGAATTTCAAGGCTTTATCTAAATATACAGGATATTTATAGACTTCAAATAGAAGTGATAGGTTGTACAGTTTATCAGAAGAGCGATTTAAGGCCCTTGGGCCTCTTGTTGGTGTAGGTAGTTTTTATTGATATTTCTTCAATATGAAGATTGATTCTAAGGAAAAGATATACCGGTATAAATATTTAAGGGATGTTCTTTAAAGTTTTTGGGTGAGATAATAGTGTGTAAATAACACAGATTTGTCACAGGCATATTTCAGGAAGTGTGCAAGAGCTTTATGAAAAATATACCTACATGTAAGTCTGTGAGATTTACACACTAATAATTTAGGCAAAACTTGAAAACATTCCTTATATTCAAATTTTAATGTTTGAAAGCAGCAAATGTACACTCATTGTATGAATTTCTCGCTGCCCTCTATTGTTATATCTATTAATGTCTCTGTAGCCTCATTGTGACATCACTCTAGCTCAAGTTTTTCCATGCATTTTATTATTGGTGAATAATTGATATAGTGAATTCTTTCTAACGCAGCCTTCAAATTCCTTCTGTATAACTCCAGTTCAATCCGATATGTGCGAGTGGATGTGTGAATGTTTGTGTGTGTAAAAAATCCTTTGTATACTGCCTTGTAGATATTTATATGTAACTATATATTGACATGTATACAATGGATAATGTAAATAAAAAGAAAATTTAAAAAAAAAAGTTTTTCCATGTATATTTCTAGGCATGAGTATACACAAACATGCCATTCAAAGCAAATTTCGTTGTTGGTTTCGTAAAAAACAGCAAATGTAAATATTAAGTTATGGTAGCATGTCATTTAAAGGAAAACTACATATTATGCCTTCAGGTGCTTGACAAGGACAATCGTACTGTATCTGACCCTGCAGTGGGGGAGTTCTATGCTGGTCAGTTTACAGACGGAAGCTGGTACCGCTGTCGAGTGGACACCCATGATCCTGACCATCAAGTCACTGTGACTTATGTAGACTATGGCAACAGGGAGACAATAACGTACAACAAACTGAGGAATCTTCAGCCACAGTGGTGTACACTGCCCGGACAGGTGAGCATTATGTCCTAATATTTTTCTGCTCAGGCCAGGTGAGCATAATGGGTCAATATCTGTCTGCTCAGGCCAGGTGAGCATAGTGGGTCAATATCTGTCTGCTCAGGCCAGATAATCATAATGGGTCAATATCTGTCTGTACATTTCAAATTTCTGATGGGGTAGAAATTTTCATTTTTAAAATGGGGTAAAATTTGTTGACTGTAAATCCTTAGGCAATGAGGTTAGCTTGCAATTATTGTTTCATTCTTGTGTTATATATACCGTGTATATACCTTAAATTTGAATGATCTACAAAGAGTATTTTAAGGTTGTGAGTAGGTTTACTTGTCAAACCAGAAACAAATGCTTACTTATAATTTCATGAGTAAACTTTGTGAAAAAAACTTGCCTGTAAAGTTTTGTAAGCATTACATTGTCATGGAGCTAGAATATGTATTAATAAAATTCATATACTTCAGGCAATAGTGTGCACTTTGGATGGAGTAGTTCCTCATATGGACTCCAAATTTTGGAGCCAGCAGGCAGTAGACAAAACTAAAGAACTGCTGCCACCCACCATGGAATGTGGGAGGATGTACAAGGTGACCTGTACTGGAAAAGATGAAGATCTGATCTTGATTAAAGTGCTGGATGCCAATGGTAAGATAAAGTTTTGGTCCATACCTGGGCTGCATTGAAGATTATAATAGCTAACCTAGCTGCTATGTAGACTTGAATAAATGGCCTCTGTGGCATTGACTTAATTGATACTTAACTTCTTTCTTTGTAAAATAATAGGTGTTTATCATAATATGAATATTTTATGTAGGCTTGTAGAGTGTTTTTAGCTCACCTGAGCCGAAGGCTCAAGTGAGCTTTTCTGATCACATTTTGTCTGTAGTCCGTCTGTCCGTCTGTCTGTCTGTCAGTCCGTCCGTCTGTAAACTTTTCACATTTTCGACTTCTTCTCAAAAACCACTGGGCCAATTTCAACCAAACTTGCCACAAAGTATCCTTGGGTGAAGGGGATTCAAGTTTGTTCAAATGAAGGGCCACGCCCTCTTTCAAGGGGAGATAATAAAGAATTAGTGAAAAATTAAGTGCATCTTTTAAAAATCTTCTTCTCAAGAACCACAAAGCCAGGGAAGATGAAACTCATGTGGAAGCATCCTCAGGTAGTGTAGATTCAAGTTTGTTCAAATCATGACCCCCGGGGGTAGGGCGGGGCTACAGTGGAGGATCGAAGTTTTACATAGAAATATATAGGAAAAACCTTTAAAAATCTTCTTCTCAATAACAGCAAAGCCATGATGAGTCATATTTATATGGAAGCATCCTCAGGTAGTGTAGATTCAAGTTTGTTTAAATCATGACCCCCGGGGGTAGGGCGGGGCCACAATGGAGGATCAAAGTTTTACATAGAAATATATAGAAAAAATCTTTAAAAATCTTCTTCTCAAAAACAGCAAAGCCCTGATTGATCATATTTATGTGGAAGTATCCTCAGGTAGTGTAGATTCAAGTTTGTTCAAATCATGACTCCCTGGGGTAGGGTGGGGCCACAATGGAGGATAAAAGTCTGAAATAGAAATATATAGGAAGATATCTTCTGATGAAGAACTGCAAAGCCATGATTTGTCATTTTGATATGGAAGCATCCTCAGGTAGTGTAGATTCAAGTTTGTTAAAATGATGACCCCAGGGGATAGGGATGGGCCATAATGGGGGATCGAAAATTTTACATAGGAACATATAGGAAAATTTCTTCTTCTCAAGAAATGAAAATCATGTTTAGTCATTTTGATATGGAAGCATCCTCAGGTAGTGGAAATTCAATTTTGTTCAAATGATGATCCCCGAGGGTAGGGTGGGTCCCAATAGGGGGATCGAAAGTTTTACATAAGAACATATAGAAAAAAATTTCTTCTCAAGAACAGAAAAGCTATGTTAAGTCATATTGATATGGAAGCATCCTCAGGAAGTGTAGATTCAAGTTTGTTCAAATGATGACCCCTGGGATAGGGAGGAGCCACAATGGGTGATCAAATTTTACAAAAGAATATATGGGAATTTTTTTTAAAAATCCTTTCAAGTACAACAAAGCCATTTGTTATATTGACATGAAAGCATCATCAGGTAGTTTAAAATTCAAGCCCCCCCCCCCCCCCCCCACCCCCACCCCCGTAATCTTTTCAATACTGAACTGATTTGTGCTTTTGCCTTGCCAATGTGCTCAGGTGAGCGATGTGGCCCATGGGCTTCTTGTTTAGCTCACCTGAGCTGAAGGCTCAAGTGAGCTTTTCTGATCAAAATTTGTCCGTTGTCTGTCGTTGTCATTAACTTTTCACAATTTCATCTTCTTCTCACGAACCACTGGGCCAATTTCAACCAAACTTGGCACAGAGTATCCTTGGGTGAAGGGGATTCAAGTTTGTTCAAATGAAGGGCATGCCCTCTTCCAAGGGGGGATTATTACAAAATAGTGAAAAATTAATGGCATCTTTTAAAAATCTTCTTCTCAAGAACTAATGGGCCAGGAAAGATGAAACTCGTGTGGAATCATCATCTGGTAGATTAGATTCAAATTTGTTCAAATCATGACCCCTGGGGGTAGGGTGGGGCCACAATGGATGATAAAAGTTTTACTTAGGAATATATAGGAAAAATATTTAAAAATCTTCTTCTCAAGAAAAGCAAAGCCATGATTGGTCATATTTATATGGAAGTATCCTCAGGTGGTTTAGATTCAAGTTTGTTCAATTCATGACCCCCGGGGCTAGGGTGGGGCCACAATGGGCGATCAAAGTTTTACATAGGAATGTATAGAAAAAATCTTCAAAAATCTTTTTAAGAACAGCGAAGCCATGATTGGTCATATTTATATGGAAGCAATCTTAGGTGGTGTACATTCAAGTTTGTTCAAATCATGACCCCCAGGGGTAGGATGGGGCCACAATGGAAGATCAAAGTTTTACATAGGAGTATATAGGAAAAATCTTCAAAAATCTTCTTCTCAAGAACAACAAAGCCATGATTGGTCATATTTATATGGAAGCATTCTCAGGTAGTGTAGATTCAAGTTTGTTCAAATCATGACCCCCAGGGGTAGGGAGGGGCCACAATGAAAGTTCAAACCTGTAGACAAAAGCCACAGTTAGTCAAAGAAATATGTAAGCATCCTTAGTGTAAATTCAATTTTTTCAAATCAGGACACCCCCCCCCCCCCCTCCCATTTTTGGGTTAGGTAGGGACCACTTAAATGCATTTAGGATTTTTAATACTGAACTGATTTTTGCTTTTTTTCCTAGCCACAGTTCTCAGGTGAGCGATGTGGCCCATGGGCCTCTTGTTTTTTATTGCTTTTCAGTTTTTCTTATAGATAAGAAAGAGAATCATTTGTGTCAAGTATATGAAAAGCAGTGGGGCTTTTTTCTGCATCTCTGTGTGTTTTCAGAGAAATGCATTTAGATATTGATTTTTGTTCACAGGACAAGATGTCAGCGAGACCCTTATAGACTCCGGCCTAGCATCCAAAAAAAGCCAGAACAAACAGTCTTCAGGGCCACAGTTGTATGTATATAAAGACTGACCTTAAAGTTTAAAACATAAAGATGATTTAAATGATCAAGGAAACTGCATTTCATACTACCACATTACATGTGCATTTTTTTTTCATATGAAATAAAGGAGAATTTGTTGAAATTAAACTGACTGAAAGATGAGGAAGTTTGGATTTTGATTATAGGAATTTTAATTTGTCCGTTTCTTCCACAGTATATGTATTGATGCCAAAGAAATAGAAGATAAAATGGAAGACTGGATCAGTGGCCAGAAATACGATGTGTTAATAGCTGAGAGGGACAGCCCACTAGACTTTTACGTCCAAAAAGTAGAGGATCTTGAAAAATCCATGACTCCATACTGCGCCAAAGTCAATGAGGAATGTATGGCTATACAGACAGATCACTATCAGTGAGTATGCTGTACATGTTCAGTTGTACTACATAATCAGGTGGGGGTTTTTATGAACCTGTCATAGTTATGAACTCCTTTTTATATCAGACTAGTATAAAATTCTAAGAAAGGGGTTGGAGGGGGAGGGGTTTAGAAGGTTCAATGGAGCAGAGGTGAATGATGAATTGTAATATTGTAACAGTTGACCTTTATTTTAATTGCAGCCCTAAAGGAGTTGGGGAGCTGGTGTATGGCCTATATGACAGCAATTGGTACCGAGCTGAAGTCCTCAGCCTGTCCAACCAGCAGGCAAAGATTTATTTCATTGATTTTGGAAACACTGAACTGGTTCCTTTCAGTGATCTCAAGCAGGCCACCAGTCTCTGCAAGGAGAGGCCACCTTTCTGTGTTCACTGCCAACTGGTAGAGATGGACCCAGAAGGAGCAGCAAGAGCGAACGAGTTATTTAATGAACTTACACACAAAAATGATCCCAAAGTGCTCACTATGATTTACAAGGGCAGAAGAAGAGATAAAGCAATTGTGGATTTCTTAACTGATCAGGAGGAACTTGTGTCTGTGGCAATTTCAAGGTTTTTAGCACAGGCTATGGTATCTGCTCCTGTAATGGCAGAAGATATAAAGTCTTCAACCTTGCCAGGAGATGGGACTCCAGTTACCTGTGTCATAATGTACATCACATCTCTCTTTTCATTTTATGTCCAGTCTGCCAGCAACAACATTGAAAGAATTATGAGTGAAATAGCAGAGATCTGCTCCAGGAATTCTGTGCCATATACACCAAAGGTTGGAGAAATGGTATTTGGGAAGTTCTCTGACGATGGGCGCTGGTACAGGGCTAAAGTGTTGGGAATATCTGGTGATGAGGTTGTTTTATTGTATACAGATTTTGGCAATGTGGAAACAGTGACCAAAAATGCCGTGAGAAGATTTCATCCAGCCTTGGTCAATTACCCACACCAAAGCATTCATTGCAAGTTAGCATCAGTGACCAAGTCAATGGAAACTCCAGAAGTGCTTCAGACATTTGGTAGCTTGTACAACTGTAAAGTACATGTGAAACTGAGAGGTCCAAGTAAAGTGGACCCATTAGAAGTAGATATTCTGCTGGAGGATGGTAGTAATGTTAACGAAACAATTGTAAATATGTTTTCCTCACAAGCAAGCCCAGCAGTGACCAGTTCTAGTCCTAAAGCAAAAGAGACAGTATTGTACACCAAGATCCACTTCGAGGAGGCTCCTATTCCTGTGGATGGAACCCAGGTCGAATGTACAATGACAGAATTTAATAGTTTTGATTCATTTTATTTACAAATCAATGAAGTCCAGGCACTTGAAAACTTGATGACAGAACTGCAAAATTTGAGTAAAGAACCAACACCATATCAACCTGAAGTTGGTGAAGATGTTTGTGCATTGTTTTCTGTAGACAGTAAATGGTACAGAGCACGAGTAGTAGAGAAGATGGAACAGGATTCCTACATTGTATTATTTGTAGACTATGGAAATAAGGAACAAGTCACATCCAATGAAGTCCGGAAATTAAAATCGGAATACGTACAGCTGCCATGCCTAGCAGTTCACTGCAGACTAGCAGTCCGGACACCTCTGTCAGATGACCTTAAATCAAAGTTTGCTGAACTTACAGTGTCCAAAATTCTTTACTTTCAAGCCTTGTCTGAAAACAATAAACTGTATGACATAAAATTGTACACCCAAGATGGCTTCTGTGTAAATGACGTCCTTGTAGGTAATTCTTCAAGCAGAAAGTCGGCAGTGGTAGAGGCTCCCCAAAGCAGACCAAGAATTCCTGAATTTGACATGCCAGTGGATGGAGGAAAACTCCCTTTTCTTGTCACACATGTTAACAGTGTCAATTCCTTCTATGCCCATTACTATACAGAAGAGAGTTGTGAAAAATTCAACAGTTTACTCCAAAAAATTGACACCTACTGTGTAGGCATCACAGAGCCTTATCTTCCTGCAGTAGGAGAGCAGGTATGCTGCCAGTTTTTTGAGACTGGTCAGTGGTTAAGAGCTGAAGTACTACACATTGAAAACTCCTCCTATAATGTGCAGTTTGTCGACTATGGAAATGTCCACACTGTTCAAAAGGATCAGATCCGCAAGGCCGATGACTCTTTTCTATACTTGCCAAAACAAGCCATTCACTGTAAATTGACAAGCATCGATAACCAGAGCTCTCCATTGATTCTAGAAAAATTTGATGCGGCTGTAAAAAATACACTGAGTTACATCAAGGCTCTTGGAAAGGAGAGAAGTGTTTATGAGGTACATATTACTACTGATCAAGAGGACGTTGTAGAACAGCTGAAAAAGTTATCGACCTCATTCTTTCCTCGCATCTTGCCAGTTGGTAGCACAAAAGAACCCTGTATCTTTCAGGAAGTGGACAGTCTCCACTCTTTTTACTTGTTATTAGTAGGTCAATCTTACAGGGAAGAGTTATCTGTTCTTGAAGAAAAATTGAAAAACTTTGTCGAGAAATCTTCCTCACCCTATCAGCCTGTAAAAGATGAAATTGTTCTAGCCAAATTTTCAGAAGATGGAAAATGGTACAGAGCCAAAGTTTTGGAGGTCTTAGGTGAATCCGCCTTCAAAGTGTACTTCATTGATTATGGAAATGTGGATTTGAACACCCCTGTGGACATTAGACAAATTGACCCGTCCCTCTTGTCTGTGCCAAATTTTACTATTCATTGTAGGCTTGCGGACATTGGAGAAAAGGAATCTGAGCAGGCATTGCATCAGTTTATTAACCTTGTCGCAAACAACCTCCTGCATTTACAGGTTGTCAGGGTAGAAGTTGAGCTTCATGAGATAATCCTCTTCACTGACGGAGGTGAAAATGTCAATGAGCATGTGCGTCAGTCGATAGCCCTGTCTAAGCTCTCTGCTGGGTCACCACAAGCTTCCAAAGGAGCTACAGCAGCTGGGAATTCCCCTGGAATAGCAGCATCGGGAGGTCCTTCAGGGGATGGAAACAGAGGGGGTTCCCCAGGGGCAGGGAAAAGTGTGAACATTCGCTTCAGTGACATGTCCAAGGTTGAACCTCAGAGTGAAGAATTCCAGGTGATCATTACCTCCATTGATTCTCCTGAAGAATTCTTCTGTCAAATTGCTGATGAAGAAGGTTGGTATACAATGTCTCTCTTCTTATCATACAGTACATCAATTAATACAGTAAGAATGTGTTGTTTATTAAATGTATAACAGTGCAGAAAAGTTTGTTTGATTTATCTGTCATAAATTTCTATGAACCATGTGCATTTGTTAATTGACATGAGAGTCTGACTTAACTGACACACCTGTAATATCTTGACTTTTAGCTGTGGGTAAACTGGCGACCATGATGCAGGCTGTGATGATATATTGTGAGACAGAGCCTCATGATCCAAACCATAAGTACATCGTGGGGGACATGTGCTGTGCTTTCTACAGCCTATGTGAATGTAAGTGCTAAATAATGTTGTATACATAGAAATCACATTATACTTGTAATTAACTGTAAAATGTGTTTAAAAAACTTTTTCCAATGCTTTTAGATGCAGTGTCTGATATAATGTGATTTGCTTTTGAATGAACTTGCATCTTGAAAGATTAAGTGTATGTCCTATAGTACACATTCTCAGGAAGAGAATATTCAACTGCACAAAAAAGATTGAAGGGAGGGATGTGTTACATTCATAAAATAAAGATTTCTCATTTTGTTTACAGCTGATGGGGGATGGTATAGGAGTGTTATAACGGAAACGTTTCCTAATGGAACCTACAGCCTACAATATGTGGACTTTGGAAATAGAGCCATACTACCTGCCAACCAGCTACGTCCAATGAAACCAGACTTCATGGAACCTCCCATTCTGGCTTTTAAATGCTCACTACATGGTAAATTTAACATAGGTTCTACGTATACTCAAAACCATGTAAAAATTTCAAAGGCTTAAGATAGGTTGCGGGTTTGCTTTTGTCATCAATTTTGGTACACAATTTCAACGATTCGAGTGGTTGTTTTGTGCACTTTTGATTATGACGTCAGTTACGTCACAAAGGCGATGTTGCGTTGTTTCCCGTATAATTCTCTGTAAATAACTTCATAAATAGTCTACAGGTACGAATCAAGTAGATTAATTCAACGCGCATGCTATTGTACATAAACCTCTTACATGTATGAACCAAGATTGGGTATTATTAAATGACAGTCTAAATTCTGATGTGATTATGTGTTATGTCTTAGAAAAAACTAATACGATACCAAATGAAAGGAATAATTTATATTGTAAGTGTTACTAAACTGCTAAAAGTCAATCAAAATGAGTCAGCGTAAAAGTTATGGTATGCAAAAAGAAAATTATCGTAAATTTCTTAGCCAAAAACTTGAAGGGTTGTATGTGCGCACCCAGGGCAAAACTTTTTCAGGATGAAATCAATCCTCAACACTAAAAACGGATGAAATTTAATTACAGTACATGTATTTTCCTGTTATTTATTATTATTATTTCAATCATCATAATTATCATTTGTTTATTTTGTAATTGAATCTCGTGTAGTCACTAGGTATATACAGGCTAACAAATTGTGAAATGCATTTAAAAAATAAATTTAAACAAACACCCCTACTATCAGACCTATATGACACTGTAAACAAGTATCAAGTACATTTTTTATCTATATAAGAAAAGCTCTCTGTGTATAAGCTAAATGCAAGTGTTTTACATTTTGAGTATCGAAATTAAGAAATATTCGAGAGTTAGGGCTATATACCAGCTTGCGACCAATATAGAAAGAACATTGCCGGTAATCCCCCACCCCATTTTTCTCAGTATTGGGATGTTTTTGAATGAAGTGATCAAATTCGTTGTTATGTCTGAAATCTTACTGAACATGAATTCACATCCTAAAAATAAAATGAACTAAAATTTTATCACTCGCCATGTGTTGTCACTGCATGTTTATTGTAATACGAGAGAAATGATTAATATACAGTTCATTCTGACTTTTTGGGCAGAATATGAATTTCAGAAGATTAGTGTAAATAAGTTGCTGGTCATTCTAACATGTTTCCGCATTAAGTGAAATGATGAATACAACTATGTCACCTTTTAGATCTTGCATATTCCAAATGTAAAGATATTTATACTTGTAAATAAACGTGATTATGTTCAACACATGACGTCATAAGCGCAACATTTTGGCAATATAATTTAAGCAAACTTTGAAAATATTTAGCAAAAAACTAGCGAGAAGACAGGTTGATTTTTTTTATCTCAATAGTTTTAATTTTACCTCATCTGGATATTTTGAAATTCCTGACTAATTTGTCTACGTCTTTAAAAAAGTTATCCAACCTTTTTTTTCAAAAAACTCTTTTCGCACAATTGGCTAAAAAACGTCATTTTTCTATATATATTTCAATAGTAAAGCGTAAAAATAGTACTTTAAACTATACCGTGTTTACAGTAATACAGCATTAAAACTACGAAGACAAATTTAATAAAAATAACAGATAAAATGCTATAAATTCTAAGGAACATTATATCAAATTTTCAGGATATGTTTTCTCGTAAGATTTTTTATGCAGTAAACCCGCGACCTACCTTAAATCAGTCAAAAAATATATAGATCTTGGAATTTTTCCTTGTTCCTGTTTCTAAAACTTTGAATTGTTCATACTTGTTGTATGTATTATGACAGGTATTTCAGCCCCAGAGGGACTGTGGTCTAACAGTGCTAGTGAAAAACTAAACCAGTTTGTAGACCATGCTTTGTATGCTCGTCTAAAGGATCGTAGTGGGGACACCTTTGTTCTGTGGCTAATTAGGCCGGGACAGGACGACTACAGTGAGGATATTGATGTAGCAGAATACTTGGTATCCTGTGGTGTAGCACAATCCAAGTCCAGTGAAGGTATTTAACTGCATTCCTTTGATTTATTGGGTTTTAATGCAGGAATTGGGAAGGCCATCAAGGTCAATGGGACTATGGTGCAAATGTCAAATCTTTTTTAATGGGCCATTTTGAAAATGAATGGGCCATCTATATATTTTGATAGGCCATTTTAAGAAAAAAACGAAATGACAAACAAATGTGAAATACAAAAGGAAACCCTTTTCTTTATTAACCAAATTTTATTTTTCACGTATGCAGTGTAACACATTTAAAGAAATCTGTGAACAATATAATTTTCTTGTATTTTGGATCAATAACATCAAAATTTCTATTAAATATTGGAAATGAGTGAGGTAATGTACCTTTGTTGTTTTAAATAAAACGCTTCATGTAACAGGAGGCAGTTTTTGCCAGGTTTTAACCATTGAGATTTGTTGTATTAAAATGAAAGCAAAACAAGCAAGAAAGTCATACGAAATATATATTTCAAACTAACATTGCTAAAATTTGAATGCACACCTTGGCACCACCAATGTTTGATTTAATGCGCTATTTTCACTTCAGTGCAACATTGGTGCGTGGCTCAAGCCCTTCCCAATCATTGTTAATGGCTGAAATAGTTCATAATTATATATAAATAATAAGATAAATGATAAATATATAAATGTGCTACCTAGAAATATTTGTTGGCTTTCAACAAAGACGGGGGTTTGGTCGAGAGAGTTGTTTTGAAAATGAATTTATAGGGAAAGTTCACGGAAAGTAAAAATAGCTGCAAAGTAAAAAAGAAAATTGAGAGTTTTATCTTCTGGGGGTGTATTTGATTTATTAATTAACAATAATGTTGAGTTTGGTTGACATCAGGTATGAGCCCAAACACAACTCTGTAATCAAAAAGCAAGAACACAAGTCCTTTATATCAGTCAGCTTCATAAAAAGATCAGTTTAAATCATAAAGATCAATTACGTGTTCATTACAATTATTTTAATTTTTACATTATTCAGGAAAAATAATTTTTTAGATGAAATTTGACAAAACACTCTGCTTCACTTAGTTTTCTGCCTTTTTTTTTCTTATCAATGCTCATAAAAGTGAGAGAGTGTTCTTGACCTAATTTTGCAATACTTGTGTTTGAGTTGTTTTATTTTAAAAAATCTGGCTCCAGAGCTCCAACTTGTGTTCAAATAAAGTAAACTCTTGAGTTTTGTTGACAAAAAATGACTTGCTTTATGCATTGTTGCTGTATTGTTTTATAGTAATATTTGTTATTGATTATTTTATAATTTGATGTTGACAGATGATCAAGCAGCAGCCATTCAGCAACAGATTGCCGCCCTCCAAGCTCAGTTAAAGAAACTCGCCCCAAAGAAGTAAGGACGGGGACAGTAGCATGTTTTATATTTGCTTAAACAACTTAATCTTTTTCTTCTTTTTTTTTTTTTTTAAAGAAAAATTAAGTATGAAGATTCTGATATTCAAAATGACATTAACAATTACTATAAAAGTTCTGAATTAAGCAGAACTTGTATGTCAAAGTTGTTCTGTGACTTACCTTTATTGGATAATTAAGAAATAAAGCCCATAGAAGGCCTAGACAAACTTATAATAGAACATTATGCCTTGTACATATTGAAATATAAACAGGTACAAGCCAATGTATGACCTACCATTTTAAAGTTTGCAATATACAGAGGTCTACTTCTTGTTCAGAGGGTTTCCAAGAGAAAGGTCACGTTGAGTTTGGTTTCTTGTGTATCACTTTTTGTTTGATGTACTTAATAGAAACCCATTGATTTTCATTGTGTTGTCTAGAAAAATAACTACTGATTAGTTATTTTCAGCTTTATACATGTAATTATGTAAATATGCATTTTGTTCATGATTTTCTGAACCAATGTTCAGTATATTACAATTTATGATCAATTGGTAACAAATTGGAGAAGAGTTTGTTTTCATATTTGAGCATATGTACATGAATCTTTTGAGAGCTATTACATGTATCTCCAATGCTGAATTGTTGAAGTTGCTTATTTGCTGAAACTTTTCAATTACTTCGTTATTTCATTAACAATGTATTTTTGAGGTCTGAGTGCACAGATATTGAAAGATGTTGGAAAGTGACATATATTATGTTGCATTTTCCTTTTGAAACTTGCCAAGGAAGCAAAGTTTTGAAATTTGTTAAATAAGCATTGAAGAAATGCCTTTTATTTTATTTAGAGTAATTATATGTATGTTGAAGATTTTGTGAACTGTATCTTTTGAGGAAATGATTTTTTTTCTAAAATTTAGAAGGATTTTTTGTTTTGTTACATGAAGTACAATGTATTCTTTGATGAAATCAAGTTGATAAATAATATTATAATAGGTGGCCAGATAAAAATAGTTCTCCATCCTTTCAAGAAAAAAAGTCTTGTTAAAAAAACAAGAATTTTGTTTCTCCAAAAGTGAAGAACCTGCATATGCAGTCCTGTGTTATGTATAAACAGCATGTGTTGGAGTTTGTTACCCACGTCAGGTATATGCAGAGAAATAGTACTGATGGTCGCAAGGCCCCAAACATGAAAAGAACAGGGAGTTAAACATTATACATGTTAACCTCATTCTTGATGTCCATAAAAAGAAGTTACTGTATTTTATTTCCAGATGGCTGAATACATTTCCTTTAATCCAATATTTCCTTTAATGCAGTATTTTTCAAAATATTCATATTTACGCTAAAATGGGGATGCCTCTTACATCTTATTGAACACTCTTTTCTTAAATGGAGTTGGCTATTGTTCTGCTTTGTCAAATAGAGAACAAGTGAAATATTCCACATATTTCCAGTTCCAGTTCTTCTCCAGTGAAAAATACCACACAATGAGGGTCATTCTCCTCGGGAGATTTTCTAGAAACTTTTATCAAGGAAACTTTTATCAAGGAGTTGTCAAATTCTTTGAAGAAGTAAATAATTCCTTATATTTCTGTGTCTCCCCTAATGATTCTTTAATGATTGGTCTTTTTCCCTTCGATGGTATCTTTTGGTACTCTTTGCCAAACTGCTCTCATGGATGAGTTGGCCACATAAAAATGTCACTTGCATTAAGTGAAATATTCCACTTATTCTTTGATGTCCTCTTGTTGCATTGTCAGTGACAACATTTCCAAGTTCCCAGCAGATACTGGTACATTTTTATGCCTCGCCATGAATATGCCATGAATATGGCTAGGGTATATAGTGTTTGTCATGTCTGTCCTTTTGTCTGTCCTTCCATCACACTTTGCATTTAGCTTAGTTACAAAGAAACTATTCAAGATATTTAATTAAACTTCATATGCTGATAAACACTGATGAGGGCTATTCAACTGCATTAGCATTTTTTGACCTTTCCTTTGACCTTGACCTCACTTTTCTTAAGTTAGTGTATAGCTCAGGCTCAAACATTTTTACCAAACCTTACTTGCTGATACATACTGAGGCCTGTTCAACAGAGTGAGCATTCATGAGTGCTTGCTTAAATTCCTTATCCCTCTAACAGAAATGTTCGTGTGTACTCGCAAACATTGCTCTGTTGAACAGGCCTCTAGTGAGAACTATTCAATTTTCAACATTTTATTACCTTGACTTCACTTTTCTTAAATTTTTGTTAAGCTTAGTTTCAAAGAAACTATTCAAGATATTTTTTTTATCAAACTTCATATGCTGATACATATTGATGAGAGCTATTTAACTTCATAAACATTTTATTTTTTTGACCTGGACTTTTCCTTTGACCTTACTTTATTTGAATTAGTGATATCTCAATTTCAAGAAACTTAATATATTTGTATCAAACCTTATATGCTTGTACAAATAATTAAAAATGATGAAGTTCAGAATGGAAATTAAAAAAAAAAGATAAAAATATTCTGTACATTATGTCTTGCCAGTTAGGAAAAAGAAATACCCCTGTGCATTTTTTTTCTGTACAGTAGCTTAATTGCAGAATATTATTGTATCTTCTTTATCATTGGTTGACCACCAGATGTTTGAATGCAGTTTGACACATGTTATACATGTAATGAAAAAAAATACATGTACATGTATGTACAACAGAAAATTATATGTGTATGGTATGTCTTGTTAATCTGTTGGGAATAAGTATTTTTTTTATGTGCATGTGTGTTAAAATTACATTGCATTACTCTCTTGATAACTTGGCAGTTGAGTGATTGTCTAACATAGAACATGTACATGTATTGATATTAAATAATTTTCTTTCTTTTGCAACAGACTGTATTTGAAAATTTGGTAAATATTTCTTTTGCAATCAAAACGAATGCCCTGATTTGTTACCATCTAGAATATTGAAGTGAGTTATTTGTGGGTGTCAAAATATGTTAATACATTTATTTCATTTACCAAATATACATGTTAAACTGTTTGTTAAAAAATGTAAGAATGAGAATTTGTAAAGTTTTCACTTTTTGCATATCAGAATGCTGTATTTTAGGGGAAAACAGATTATGGAAAGAAAACATTTAAGTGGAATTTGTAACATAATGAACATGGGGGTATAAGGTGAAAAAGGATAGGTTCATGGAAAAGCCTTGTTCAGTTTTCTGTTTGCACTGTGTTTTCAAAGCAATGCTTTTATCATTAGAAAGTAATAAAATTGTATTGAACAAAACATTTTACAGAAAGTTGTAGCAACCTTAAACTATGGTACATGTATATCACCATTAAAGAAGTCAAAAGTTTTGACATATAATTGTACTTTTCATGTACGGTGGGTTCTTGATCACATATTTTTAAACCAAAAAGTATACACATGTATTTAGAAGATATTCTTAGTCTGGGGACAAGGACCCTAATAGCCCAAAAATATGGTAGAGTACATAGAGTAGAAATACTATTCAGTGTATGCTTGTCATGTTAGATGTATGTCCATGTTAGCTATTACATGTCTAACTTCTTCAATCGTCCAACCTTTAACCCATGTTCTTTGTGGAAGTTTGAAATTTTTACGGTTTGGCATCTCTAATGTTATTTGTGTATGGTCATACAATGATATAAAATGCTAATTGTATATGTGCCAAGTTATCTTGGAAAGTGAAAAAGCTGACACCATGGAAACATTTACAGATTACTAACCTTCAGCATTTTCTCTTCTTAAATGTTAGTAAAAGGTCAAAGATTCCACTTATTAATTCTTAAATTTTGATGAGTGAAGCCCAATCTCTGAAGTTTACTGAATAGACAAACTCTTAAACTGAATTACTGTGTTAATTTTAATGATCCAATACATGTACCATTTGAAATGTTCATATGCTTGCTTTGAAAGTTATAGACTGAAAATAAAACGCCACTATCCTTTCCAATACTGTGTTTTTTTAACTGAAAGTTATGACTTCAACCAAGTCTCTTGGATTTTTAGCTCACTGAGCTGAAAGCGCAAGTAAGCTCTTCTGATCACCCATTGTCCTTCATTTGTCAATCTGTCTATTAGTAAGTGAACTTTTCCTGATCGCATTAATAGAGGATGAAAGTTATACATTGAAATGTATAAGAAAAATCTTAAAATCTCCTCAAAAACCACTGGGCAAGAAAGGTGAAACTTATGTGGAAGTTTCATTAGGAAGTGGTGATTCTATATTGTTCAAATCATGATCCCTTGGTGTAAAGTGGGGCAATAATGGGGGAATGAAATATAAACGTACTATTAAGAAGAGTCTTTAAAATCTTTACCTCAAGAATCACTTGGCTAGAAAAGGTGAAACTTACACGGAAGCTTCCTGATAAGGGTGCAACGATAAACCGTTTGACGGTATATCGCGGTATATTTTTTCACGGTTCAATTCATGATACGCTAAACTGATATCGCGGTTCAGTTCAATCGGTCCAGAATTATCCGTTTTGTCCGTTTTATTTCCTTCTTTACTATTTCAACATTGCTTCCGCGCAAAACGTGAGGTCGCCGATAACGCATTTATGGCAGTTAAACTCATCCCCAGCATCTTACAGACCTCAGATTTAACACGGAGAAGGACTTAATGTGATTATAAGTTATAGATGTTAAGACAAATGATAAACCCTTTAGATCTATAAACGTATTCTTTGGTAATACACGATATTCCATCATGTGTGTATTTCGATGAAAATTCGCTGTCTTGTTGACTAAAACGTATTAACACAAGAAATATGACAACTGGTTTTCTACGTAAATAAAAGGAATAAAAGAATGAATGTCTTCCTTTTTCATTCCAATTTAAAAGGAAGATTATTAGGAAAGGTCCCCGTAGTTCCCTGTAAATGTTCATCATTGGTTTAGAATGTCACAACTCAAAGATCTACCTAACAATCCAATTCAAGTTAACAAAATGTTATTTTAATTATTATTTAAAAATATGAACATTTTGTATAACCCTGTCAAGTTTAAAAAATATGACAAACTTGAAAGACTTTTTAACCTTGTCATGTATCGTGATACGTATCGTATCGTGAACTGAATACCGTGATACGTATCGTATCGTGAGGTGTATCGTTGCACCCCTACTTCCTGAGGAAGTATAGATTCTTTTAAAATTGTTCAAATCTTGACCCCTTTGTGTAAAATTGGGTTCAGGATAAGGGATGAAAGTTTTACATTGAAATATATAAGAAAAATCTTCGGTAAGCCTCTTCTCAGGAACCACTGGAAAAGATAAAACTTGTGTGAAGGAATAGATTCTAAACTGTTCCACTCATGCTTCCGGGGTTGTGTGGCACCACAGAAGGGGATCAAAGTTTGGCATGGAACTAAATAAAAAAAATTAAAATAACTCTAAAGAAACATTAGAACCATTAAGAACGAGGGGCGGCATACGGCAGGAATCTAGGCGTACTTGAGAAGTGAAAATTATTGAGCTGTATTACAGATGTGATATTTTAGCATTCATTTGATGTAAAATAGTGAAATAGGAATGGTAAATATTGTGTCTTATTTGCTATGATATGCCTTGAAATATGGCTAGATGATTCATTTGGTACAAAATTTGACATTTTTACACGTTTTTCTATGAATCTGCTATCTCTGGGTCATATATCCACGATTTTAAAATGATGTATATATGTGCATTTTAACTCAAAGAAACGAGAAAACGCTTGTAAAAATGGAGAGAGCCCCGGAAACTATAAACAGGAGGCCCATGGGCCACATCGCTCACCTGCGCACATTAGCTTAGAAAAAGCAGAAATCATTTAGATATTGAAAAGCTTAGGGGGGCAAACTTGAATTTACACTACTTTACACTACCTCAGGATGCTTCCATATCAATATTACTAATCGTGGCTTTGCTGTTCTTGAGCAGAAAGATACACTACTTGAGGATGCTTCTATAATCAAATGACTAATCATGGCTTTGCTGTTCTCAAGCAGAAGATTTTTTTCAAGGTGATTCCTATATATTCTTATGTAAAACTTTGACCCTGGGGGGTCATAATTTGAACAAACTTAATTCTACAGTACCTAAGGTTGCTTCTGTATAAATATGACTAATAATGGCTTAGTTATTATTGAGAAGAAGATTTTTGAAGATATTTCCTCTATATTCCTATGTAAAACTTCGAGTCACGCCCTACCCCTAGGGGTCATGATTTGAACAAATTTGAATCTACACCACCTGTGGATACTTCTTTATTAATATGACTTAAAATGAAAATATGACATAAATTAAGCAGGGGATGTTCACTCCTCCATGGCACCTGATCCCACCTCTGATGTTTGCCCTGCTCCTGATTTGTATTGTTTGAATGGACTTTTGAGCTTGAATACTGTTCGTTATCTCCATATTTCATATTTCAATTTGGTTTCTATTGCACCGAAAGCGAAAGCAATTCTTCCAATGATGATGCTATCATGCATTTCCATTAACTGTTCCAAATTAGTTTACACACTGATGTTTATCATTTATGTGAAGTTGCTATTTTTTGTAACTGTTAAGATAAACAGACCTAAATATTACAATTTTACAAGGTATTTTAATGCAATAATGTGACATTTTCTTAATTAAGTGCGTTACTCTGTAGTCCGTCAAGCTGTGGTCAGCCGACCAAATCGTCGGTTTGACTGGACATTTAAACTATAAATAATTCGTACATTCGATTCCTACAGATCACTCGCCAAGTACGCCCATCTTCTCTTCAAACATTCCCCTGTTGTGTGAATTTAATTTTTTTTAATTTTGGATCCCGGGTTAGGGTTTGCTAAACTCAGGATCAAATTTGAAATAATGCATGTATACAGGAAAAGAATATTTTTATCCCCCTAACTGCAAAGCCATGTTAGTCATAATGATACTAAAGCATCCTCATGGTGTGTAGATACAGATACCCCCTAAGAGTTTTGGTGGGGCAATTATATGGGGTCACAATTTTTCAAGGGAATATAAAAATCTCTTTAAAATCTCAAGAAAAAGCAGGACTAAAGTTACACAGGTGGGCATTGTGGCCCATGGGCCTCTCGTTGAATTGCAGATTTTCATTTTCAAATTGTTTTAGATGCATATTTTGGACACTGTGAAGCGTTGGATAATCAAAAATGTGTCCTTTGATGCATCTTAAGACCTCTGAGTATGTAAACCAAAAAGTAGGTAACAGTGACCTACTTTTGGAATTTCATGTCAATATATAAATATTTCGGATTCTAAGAAGCTTAGAATCATCAAACGTTGTCAGTTGATTCATCTTATGTCATCTGAGTATGTCAACCAAAAAATAGGTCACAGTGACCTACTTGCTGAATTTCATGCCTACATGTATATCTAAATATTATATATCTTATAATAAGAGGCTTAGAATCATCCAACTTTGTCAGAACTTGGAATTTCAATGTTTTTTCCAAATATTTTGGGTAATAAGAGGCTTATAATCACCAAACTTTGTCAGTTGATGCATCTTGGGTTCTTGGAGTGTGTCGACCAAAAAGTAGGTGACAGTGACCTTCTCTTTGAATTAAATCTTTATTTGTTGTCAAAGTCTTTTACCTTGAATACTAAAGAGGCCTAGGATTGTCAAATCTTTATCATTGGTGCATCCTTTTGCCTTGAAATATGTTGACTCAAAGTATGTCAAAGTGAACTTCTTTTTGAATTTTGCAGCTTTTAGTTGTCAAATTGTTTTAGAAGCATATTTTGACACTATGAAGCTTAGGATTCTCAAACTTTGTCAGACGATGGATTTAAAGACTTCAAGGTGTGTCAAATACAAAACAATAGATAACCTTTGCCTACTTTTTATTTGACACACCTTGAAGTCTTAAAAGTTTTGAAAGTAAATCATTATAAAATTTAATTTAATCATGATTCATTTTCATTTTTTTAAAGCTAAATATCTTCGATACAAAGATGCCCAAAATCATCAAACGGTTAATGTATTTTATGGTATTGAAGTAGGTCACAGTGACGTGCATGCATTGTACTTTCTAAATTTTATCGATTAAGATTCCAAATCTTTTAACGTATATATTTTGAACACTATGACACGTAAGTCCTAGAGTGCCACTAGAAAATTATACAATACAAATGGAAAATTATACAATACAAATACAAAAATATACAAATGAAAAATTACACAATAAAAATGATAAAATATACAATAAATGGAAGATAAAAGAATACAAATAAAAAAAATGTTCAATACAAATGAAAAATTATACAATACAAATTGAGGACTGAATATTGCAACGTTTGACATGCCATAATTTAGAGAGTTATTTTTCAAAGCTTTCAAAATTGAGCACCCTTTAAAGCTTCAAAATATATTATTAAAGTAGGAGCTACCGTTCTAATACACTGTGCATGGTGATTATAGAAAAAGTCAGGAACATAAAAAAAATTACTGTCAAATAATGTACAAAACACTTTAAATGGATTATTGAACAGATTATTTACTTGCATATTTCATACTTCTAATTTTTAATCAGAGTATTAAATAGTAGTTTTAGACATTCTTTAAAGTCAAAAAAGGCAAATTGAAAAAAGATAAATAAATAAACCTGACAACAAAAGAATGAATATCGATCTATATGATCGAAGAAATGAGCTGGGCCAGGCAAAGATCGCGATTTACCTGCATTACACATGCTTCTATAGACTTTTAAAAAAAAGTTTTTAAAGTTTAATAAAAGTTTTTAAAGAGTGTCGATATCGATAAAATTTGTATTTTTTCCCAGTCAGGAATCGAAACAGAAGTTTTGAAAACGGAAGTTTGGTAATTATGTCTTTGTTTTGTTTCTGCGAATAATTGTATCTCAACCTTTCAAGTACAAGAATTTTTCAATTAAGTAAAGATGCATTTTTGTTTAAGAAATTAATTTTCTTTATCTGAATTTCAAAGATGCACAGTCTTTGTATTCATGTAATTTCAATATTTGAAATTTGAAGATATATTCTTGAATAATTGACTGAAATTTATCTAAGTTTTATCACATAAAAATTTGATTATACTTCAGCTCTAGGTACATGTATATATAGTGGAATTATTGACTCAACATTTATCGTAGTTCTGTCACATAAAAAATCGATTAAACTTCGGCATAGATGATTTATCACATTAAAAAAAATATTATACTATAAAACTTTAAAATGATTTAATTACAGTCAATCAATTTGCGCTATAGGAAAAGCAGTTTCAAATTATCAAATCGCGCGGTAGAAAAATTGCATGGTGAAAAATTGTCTTTGAAGATAAAAACTGTTTCTGATAAGCATATCTTCAAGGCGGAAGTTAAATCTTTATTTGAAAACATATTTGAGTTTTTTATGCCAATGCTAGGATTAATATTGAGAGGTCAAGAGCCATCATTACTCAATATCAGACCAACTTGGAGTGGTGTGTTTCATTCTTTCGCGTATTTTGGACTGCGACTAATTAATCTTGACTGTGTTTAAAAAATATGCTATACATTTCTAGGTCTGATAAAAAGAAAGATTTCTTTCGGAAATTTTCATACAACACATATTTAAATACATCACGCATATATAATTGGGCTTTTTTTTTTTGCTAAACAACTTAAGCCTCAGATAGAACTAAATGAGACAGAAGTGTATTTTTCCTTCTGAGCCAAAGTTTGGGTTCAGAATCTGAACATAATAAAATCTAAAAAAAATCCAGATTTTGTTCTTCATGGAAACAAACCAGTGCCGTGTGACTATGACAAGAACTCTTTTTACATAGATACAATTCAGGTATGAATCAAATAAAAAACAAGTTTCACTCGATGCTAAAACAGGGGTTTCCAGTAATTTCACCTATCTTTAAATTGTTATTACTTTTTGTTACTTATATGCAATTCTTTCGATAAAAAAAAAATTCACAAAAACGTTGTTTACAAACACGCTCGATTAAGAAATAATTACGCTTTGACGTCATTCTTTTGTTTTTTTAAATTGTCTAAAATTTCTCATGATCCAATAATACAAAGCAGTATTCGTGAAAGCATATTATCAAATTGATGTGAATTTTTCTATTGTTTTACTTAGGACCTTTTTTGGCCCTGTGAATTTCTGAAATATCAAAAATGCTCCGTTTTAGTTGAAAATACATTTCATTTCACTTGGGCCCTTGGTGACTGCATTATCTATTAAAATGACCTAATCCTCTTGCTAGTTCAAGTATTATGATTCCATGATTTTCGTCATTATCCTTAAATTGATAAAATCCTAAAAGTTTCTTAAAAAATGGCCAAAAATTTAAGTTTTTTTTTTTTTTTTTTTTTTTTTTTTTTTTTTTTTTTTTTTACATTGTGTATAGACCCGAACCTTTGATCTAAAATGTTGAATTATATAATGAAAGTACTGCTTATAATCTATGTTTTATTTTTTGGATCGCGGGGTGGGTTCATATTTTAATCCTTTGCTGATGGTGCTCAAATACACCCAATTTCTTAAAAATTCATGAACTTTACAATTTTAAAAAGTCTGTTTTTCAATACCTGGACTCCAAAAGGAAACTTTTTTTTCTAATAAAAGAAATGAAAGTACTTATTGATGTTTGAAATGGGATAATGGGAATTGGTCAGTTATTTGGTATATGGACAGGGCCATTTTATGGAGTTTGTGAACCTAGCTCTTTTCTGTTGCTTAATTATCAACCTCTTCCAGATATTTATTTTCAGATTGTTTCGATCCGAACAGCTAGTCTAACAGTTTTTTTTTTTCAGATTTGGCATACATCCGTTACTTAAATAATCTATGCACTACTGGAACGAAATGTTATCAACGAAGTTCAGATATATTAATTTTAAATACAAAAATACATAAATATAATTAAAGAAATCACTAGTTTACTATACGCTTTCGACTGAAAAGACGACAAATGTTAAATCTATCTTTCAATTGACTGAACGTTACCGAGCTGAGTATGAAAATCTGCTTTTGGTGGTTAAATAAAACTAAAATACAAATCAAAATGGAATCACTGGGCCTATATTTGAAACAAAGTAAAGGGACTCGCCTTATTCGTTAAGGACGTGATGCAATCAACCTTTTTCCCCCAAAAGTCATGAAAATAACATCTTACGTCATGTTTATATAAGTAAAATGAATAGGTAACACCGAACAGATTTTTATTTTTCATTTAAAGTTTCACAATAATGTCCTGTAAAGTGATAAAAAGTTGTATAGATTTATAAGGGTGATTTTAGAAAAGTAAAATTTTGAGCATCATAGAAAAGTTACAATTTCTTGATATTTTAGAAATTTGATATTTGCATCATTTACAACCAAAATAGGTCCAAAATAATACATCAATCCAATCATCTATATATCTTTGTTCCTATCATCTGTCCTTAATTCATTTGTCAGTCATAAATGTACCCAATTTCATCATCTATTAATTGGCCTCTTTAAAGATAATACAATTTCATATACCCGATGTTATTTCGGCCAGGTAAAACCTAAATTTAAATTTGTTTTAAAATTGAGATTTCATGTTTATTGCTGAAAGAAAATATGACATATACAATTACATGGGTCATCTTTATGTATGGTCATAATTTACCTATAAATTGACAATATAAAGATTCAATTTTCACTGGTACATGTACATGTATAAGTGAACAGCAATGACCACATATTCTGATATACTTATGGGGTTAGTTTAACAGAACCAGACAAAAACTTATAATTAAGATCATGTTAATACCTTTAAAAAGGCTTTAAAAAGTGAGCAAATTCTCAAGTCATTGTTTTTTTAATAAAAGATTTTAACATACTTTCTGTCAAATTAGGACTCATTTTCAGAGTTTTTGGTTAAGATGTTCTCTTTAGAAAAGGCATAGCTGTTCAAAGAAAAGTTTAGTTTATTAAGGTAGACTTCAAGGCAACATTTTTAAAAAGGAAAAAAATTGTGCATGTAAGAACATCCTGCCCAGGGGGGTTAAAGAGGTAAAACGCACAACACGATACGAACAGGTTTTTCTGTTAAGTCATTTCAACTTTTATTGTTGAGCTATTTATATGAAAAAGTAATCATCTAGAACCTTTCCAATTACATTGTTCATAAAAGAAAAATCCAGATTACTAGTATACTCTACCTGTAGGCCTTACCTATTGTTCTATTGATTGATCCTTAGTGATTCTAAAACATTTGATCACTTTAGATTCATTTGATTTTTAAAAAAGGGAAGATAAATTAAGGAAGGCAATTGTTAGATCTTGGATGCATTGGACCAAGGTTTTATCTGGTGATTCTGAAATAGATGTACTCAGAGTCTAATGATAGAACACTTAGTCATGGAGTTACATGCACTAAAGAGTCTACTGTACTGAATATTTTCTTAAGTTTTTCATGGTACTTAAAGTACTTAAAATACAGAAGCAAAATTCACATGTGTATACTTTTCAGCAATATTTCGCTGTTGCCTAACTATAATTTTTTTTAAAAAATCTACTTACAATACTTCGTCAAATATTGTCAAATCTTGAAAAAACTATTCTATACCATATCAAAGATTTTGAGCCAATTTTCTTGCAACTGCATGCATTTTGAATGCACAAATTTTCGCATGCATTAGTTGTGGTCTGATATATAATTTGGTTTGGGGAAACATAACGTATAAAATGGGGGATAAGTTTCAATCTAGTCAAACTTTACAAAATTGTACTACTTTAGGTGTGACCGGTCGACAGGGGATGCTCACTTCTCCGTGGCACCTGATCCCACCTACTGTTTTTGGAGGTCCATGTGTGCTCTGCTCCCGATTTGTATTGTTTTAATGCACTTTGAGCTTGAATACTGTTCGTTATCTCCATATTTGATTCCAACTCTTCGCCTTGTTCCACCTTGTTTTATTTATCAAATCCACATTTATGAAGAAATACGAGGAAAATCACAGTCTATTATTTAAATGATGTTAGTTTTTCCTTTCCCTTTTCAATCTGTTAACTTTTGTTAGGAAAGAACTTCCTTAACAATGTGATCAATCCGGGGCATGCAGATAGTGTTCTGAAGTGCAATTATTTGTGAGACATTATGTAATATTGGGAACAACAAGCATTTTCGATGAAGAACCAAACGCGATTAATAATCCGAAATAAGAAAATGATAAGAAATTTTATTAAAATAAAGAACTCCCCTCTTCTTTATTTAAAAAAAAAAAAAACAAGCATTCAAGATAACCTTTTAACACTTGCCATAAGAAGGTTCTGACGTAACATTAAAAATATTACCCTTGGAAGAGATATGGCTTCGTACACACCCCCAACTTCTGGAAAATTTATAGCATTTGGAATAGCAGTATAAATGTATCCTTACAATATGTCGATTCTGTAGAGATGCACAAAGACATGTACCTAGGAAGACACGTAGAGATGACCCATTGTTCAGATAGTTGTTATAGCTCGCCTGCTGGATCCCTCTCTTCTATTCCAGGGATAGCACCAAGAAGGCCTCTCGGATACAACAGTTCACAGAATTTCTTCAAATCATTCGCTCCAGGTAATGTTGCTGATTTTAGTGAGAGTAATGAGAGCACAATCTTCCTAACCTTACACGGTATCATTTTAACTTAAAGACACATGATACAAATACATGTAAAAAAAAAATGTATGCCTGGAGTGGTACAAATATTTTGGACCTATTTTGGTTGAAAATGATGCAGATATCAAAATTCTGAAATATTAAGAAATTTTAAACTATCATGTTCAAATTTCTATCTCTCTGCAGTCGTCCTAATAAATTTAGACATTTTTTTTAAAATTACTATATAGGACATTATGGTGAAGTTTTAAATGAAAAATTAAAATCCGTGTGGATAAACATACTGTATTCATTTTACTTATATAAACATGACGAAAGTTATTTTTATCATTTGTCCTTAAATTCTTTTTGCTTCTTCAATAAGGCCACTTGCTACAAACAAACCTTTTCTTTTCAAAAATGTATGAAAATAAAGATAATAAATATATGTTTATATACGTAAAATGAATAAGTTTAGTAGGCACGAAAAGTTTTATTTTCTTTTTCAAAAACTTCTCAATTATGTCAAATAAAGTGATAAAAAAATTCTATAGATATATAAGGACAATGACAAACTTTGAGAATTTCGAACATCATAGAAAATCTACAATTCTATATTCTATATTTAAGGAATTTGATATCTGCATAATTTAAAAGTGAAATTAGTCCTTAAATATACACCAATCCATGCATCCAATTTTTTGCTTGTAGCAAGTGTCTTTAAAGAACAGACATAGCTGCATCTTTGAAGTTAAACATACATACATGTGTAGTATTGTTTTACTTGATCTTTATCATTGAGTGTTTAAACTGATTTTTTACCCTTAATTTATTTAAGCCATAACGTATTTCAACACTTTTATTTATAAGACATATTTATTGAAATCAAACGTATATTACAATTTCCATGGTTGAAAATTATTTTTTTTAATATACATGACACAATTTTTTTTTTATATAAGTCTATAAAAAGATAACAAGAAAAATTAAATCGAATAAGTAAAATTGGGGTCACAAGTCCCAGTTTCTTCAACAATTATTGTTAAAGCTCAAAGAAATGAAGATAAGAAAACAAAAAGCAAAGAATTCGATGTTGATATTCTTTGTTGCGTTTTTGTAGGAAATATACAAACGGATATAATAGTTGTCGTAAGTTAAGTGCCAAAATAAGGTTTTACGACATACCTTTCTGCAGGTAAAATCTTGCTAAAATATGGTTCATATTGATTGACAATAGGGAAAAATTATAAATTTTACTTGATCCTTTTGTTTTTTACGTAATTTTCAGTTATGAAGTTTTCAATGTTGAAAGACTAATTTAAAAACATTAATAGTTTTAGAAGAAAGACTCAACAGGTATAATCTAGAGAAGCTTAAATAACAACTTTACAAGGATAGCAAGTTTATAACTACTTCAATCATTCTATCGTAGGAAAATTATATTTTTGTTAAAAGTTTAAGTCTTTTTCCCCCTTGGGCAATAAGTTCTTATTCAACCATTTTCAAATATTATAAGAAAAGGAAACTTTGTGCATATAATATGCAAATGGTGGAAATCAACATACACTAAGTATCATTAATTGAATATATCTATAAATAATATGCAGATGAAGGGTAGATCTTTACAGGTCAGTAGACTTTCTTTACAAATATATATATATATATATATATATATATATATATATATATATATATATATATATATATATATATATATATATATATATATATATATATATATATATATATATATATATAGGGATGTCAAATCGGTCAATATTTGATAATCGGTTACTCGGACGATTTTCCGATCGAGTACCCGGGTACTCGAAAAAAATGTGTATACATGTAAAAGTTTGTTGGTTTTATTGAGACCTGTTTACCCCGTCGATGTTTTCTTCCGTTTAAAATGCATGTATATAAACATCGAGCCCAACGAAAACGACTTTGTGGTGCTTAAACAAACACACAATTATTGCAAAATTCATGCTTTACAGTTGTTTAGGAAGACATTTTGATCAACGTTTGTAATGATTAGACTAGTGAAAGAGTCTTGTCTCGTGATCGCGAGTCGTTTAAATATTATTTACATTTCCAAATGTTTTCTTTGTGATAACTCTGAAAGTTAAGTAGTTTAGTTCTTGATACTAGTATTTACAATTTCACCCGTCATGCATTAATTATCCCACGTTTCTAACTGCCGTTGATGTTCTGGCACACCCAAAAAAACTAGACAGTGTTTCTTTAAATATATGGGTTTTCCCCCGTGTATGCAAAATTTACTATGCACGGCTTGCTTTCAACATTTAAAAAAAAAAAATCTTTGGTTATTTTTAAATATTTCTTCACTTTTGAATTGGTAGCGGTATTTCTACGTATATCCGATTTCGCTACCGTATGCTAATTAAATAATCTAAGGATAATTAATAGATCATAATTAAACGATGTTCATTGAAAACATATAAATAAAGCCATGCATCCAAAAATTAGGGTCACAAGAGGTGCATGAGAACATGTGTACGGTGTGACTGGTTACGGTAATTACTGTATATGCATGTACACAGCGACAGGCGATAACGGGTATTAACTGGTGAAGGTGACGCTAATTACTGTACAGAAAAGGACAGTGCATATTTAAAAATCAATTTTTGATAAGTTTTTAATAAATATATGCACTTTGAAAATGAAAAAATATTTATACATCCGAGAAACCGAGTACCGATTTTAATATTCGATGCTCGGACGTTCGAACGAGTACCCGGTTAACCGGGTACTCATTGATATTCCTTATATATATATATATATATATATATATATATATATATATATATATATATATATATATATATATATATGACAGAACGAGTAATTTTTTTGTGTGTGTGCAAAATTGTGAATTTCAGATATGTGTCAAAAGACCCATAACAATCGCAGTTAATTGCTCAAGTAATTGAAATAACTGTTGTTGAATTTGTTGGATACAGATTTTAAAATAATATATACAACAAATATTCCAATGAATTTTAAGTTAGATTTTAATGTTAAAAAATACGCTTTTCAAAATTTATCAATGAAGTGAAAAAGTAATTTTGGAAAAATTTGGAAGGCCTCTAAAATGAAAACTGGTAGAAATTATAAGAGAAAAGAAGAATATTATTATTCATCCTTTTGTAAATATCATTTGAAATTGGATTGTATATATGAAAAGTTAAACAAGGATGATTTCAACAAAACAGGTTTAACAAATAAGGACAATAAATAAATACTATTTAAATGTTGCAATATACATGTGAAGAGAACAGCATTATTCAAATTAATTTTAAATTCTTCAAGTTTGCGCATTCTTTACATACAAATTTTAAAAATATTTTTTTCTTCATCATTCCCACCTATGCATTTTGATAAAATACATGTAGCTTTATTTTACTATATTATTAAGTTTCCCAAAAGAACATTGTTGTAGAAAACTGGGGAAATATATCTCAAACTTAAGTTAGTATTACCAACATGGTTCGATGTCTATGTTCAGATTATTTCCCAATTAGATGAAAAACGAAAAAAAAATTCCATTCCTGTGAAACAAAAAAAAAAAAACAAAAAAACAAAAACAAAAAAAAAAAAAAAAAACAAGAACAAACAAACAAACCAAAAAAAAAAAACAAAAAAACAAAAACAACAACAACAACAAAAAAAAAACAACAACAAAAAAAAAAAATCAGCAACGAACAAATAATCACAATAAATCTCCCCGTTCTGTTTTAGGTATATAATCACTAAAGTATGTGGACTTCCTCTATTCACAGAATACCTAGACAGGTGTGCCAGGTGTATGACTAGCTCCTGCTATGATTATTACTTGACATTTCTTGTAAATAAAATCCATTTGACCTTCGAAATCCATTCAAAGACATATAGGTACTGAATTGACCTTTACTTGCGTGGGTTTGGCAGAAGTTTTATTGAGATTTATAAATGGGTGTATTTGGAATAGACGCCAACAGTTTTTAAGAAAAAAAGTTGTGCTCTCTATGCTATATAGTGTTTTAAAACTTTTTTTTTCCATTCTGGACATTATTTATTGCTTCAAGGTGAATGTATCAAGAATCAAGTTCCTATTTGCATGATATAGTCATCTGTGAATGACGTCAAGTAAAATTTATAATTGTTTGCAATTTTCTGTCAATTGTGGGAGCAGTAATACAACAGATGAAATTTATTATTGTTTGCGATTTTTATGTGAATTGTGGCGGTAAATCAAACATTTTTTGTGATTATTTGCATTTTTTTTTTTTTAAAAATTAAAGCGTAAGTCATACATTTATTTATTAGCTAAAGGTATATGTGCCATGATCAAGTCCCCATTGGTATGGTAATATTTATGATTGTTTGCTACTTTCTACTTGTGGTGGGCGAAATTCTTTAAAAAAAATATTGCTTTACTTTCTAACCTTTGTAAGACAGTCCGACTAATTTATAAGGCATAGTTATGATTGTTTACTATTTTCTACAATTAGAAAGAGTAAATTTATACACTTTTATATACTTTCACAAATATTTAATCATCATGCATCATATTAACATATAAGTATGATGGTATTAGTTGAAATATGGATTCCTTTATTGACACAAAGTATGACTTCAATTTATTATTTATACTTCAATTTATTTATTTATTTAGACTAAAAAGAGCAAATGCTGCTCTCCTTGTTAGAAATTGAAGATGCCTAAAAAAAGATGAAACAGTAAAACCGTAATACACGTAGTTTGCGTAGTTTGTGATTGAATAAAATCTACATTAAAGACACTTTACATAGCTTGTTCTTTAAGTATTCATTAACCAAAAAAAAACCCACCTTGTAATATTGAAAAAAATCAAGCCTCTATCTGATTGCTCTCTCGAAAGTCGAGAGAGTAATTCAAAGTACCCATGCCTATTGAAATTAAACATTTATTCTCCCAAACTCCAGAAACCCTCTTTT